ACCTGTATAAACTGACCTTTTATTTCTTACTACGATATGGGACATTGCAGTATGTTTCTCATAGGAAAAAAATAAAATTAATGGAGTTCATTGAGTCCCTTTTAAGTATTTGAATTAATTAAATAGATACCCTAATTATAAGTAGGATATATAAAGCCCAAGATGAATTTTGGCCAAATCACTTTTAGCTTCCCACATATAATGTTTTTACTTCAGAAAAATTCTAATGGATAAATGAAGTAAAAGTTATAAGACACTCAAAATATGGAAAATATACTGATGTACTACTTAGCACTTATCTTCCAACCTGTCAGGATCAAATTCTCCAATGTTGACAGACTTGTCCTTGAAGTTCTGCAGCTGTAAGTTATGGTGCTTTTCTCTAGCTGTTAAGTAATTCCTTTCCAAGGCATCAAGGTATCTTTTCAGTTGATTTAATGCCTTCATCAATGAGAAAGAATTCAACAGCAAATGTCACTATCATTTAGCATAAGTAGCTATCACTGTGGCTTGCTGTATGAGCCAGATGCTGTTTGCAGTGCTGTTGGTAAGAATTCTGATAATTCTCTGAATTGGAACAGGACTGCATATTGTATGATCCCCTGGTACTCTGTGCTGCTTTAGCCTGTACAAGTACAGTATTAAACCATGGCTTCTGAACTGATCCCCTCCATGTCAAAATTCCTAGCTCACATGGCAACTTAAGGCCTTTCATTAATAGTTGTGAATTGTAATCCTTAAAACAGATTAAAGAATTCAACCACCTACTGAACACCTTCATCTTTGCTTCTTAAATTTGTACCTTTGGTCTATATTGAGAAAAAGAGTAAACATTCATATGAGGAGAACACGAACAACTTGCCAGAAAATTGTAAGTCTACAGCCATTTAAAGTGCATTTCAGATAAGTCAAAATATGTAAATTAATTTACCAGATATTTGTCTTGTAAAAAGAATGTTTCTTGGGTCATATGCTTAGAGAAGTCTTCTACCTTAAAGACAAAATATTAGAATTTCATTTGGGATTTTGAAAACAAATACGCCAAATGAACATGGAATTTGAGTATCGGTGCAAAACATATATTGAAACAGAGCTCTTACTTTCTTTGTCAGTTGATCTGTCTGATCCTTTAGTATTTGAGACATCTTTTCTCCCAGTGTTAGTTCTGGCAGTGAATTAGAAGGATTTGGACAGTGTCCTTCTACCCTACCAGCTGCTGGTAATGCTGATGCTGCTGTTCCAGACCACAATCCTGTGTGATACAAGATAAGATTGATCATTGAAATATCTGCCCAAAAGTGTAACCAAGTTACATAAAATAGTCATTTGCATAGTTAATTTCATTTACTTGCTTTAAGCAAACCATGTGTAGATTGTACAGGGATGGGAGCATCCACTGTGATGATGGCAGGTGATGTCCCAGTGTCTCCTGAGGAAAGGGCAGTGCTGGCATTTGGAAAGTCTGACTGAGGAAGTATCTGTTAAAGTGAGAACTCAGGTTATAGATATAATGTATAGAACAGTTATATAAACAACAAACTTAGAAATAACTCAAACCCCCAAATATTCATGAAATGTTTAACAATACCATATAATTTTCTGAGTTTGTAGTTAGATGTATATAGTGTCTCACTGTATAAATATAAATACTTCAATTTTACATTGTGAAAATATAAAGAGGGTTTGTATAAATAGGAAGCACAACATGAAGGTGACAAAATAGTTTTAGGGGATAGTCAGCCCTAGAGATAAAGAAGAATAACTTTTAAAAATAAAAGGTATTTTGAGATATTTACCTTGGGATTAAATCTCAGGTGATCAGTATGATTCTGGGTGTCAGCATGCTGTGTCAGCATCTCATTTGCAGCCAGGAATTAACAGGGAAAACTATTAAAACTTGTTACATCTTGAGTGATTTACTAAGATCTAAATCTAGGAATGGATAGAGCTCTGTGAGTGAACTACATGTCGGGGCATGAAATTGAAAAGAGATTATCTGATTATTACTCTAAAATAAATTTACTACGACAAAAGAAATATTGTTGTCAAACAAATCTTTTAAAAAGAATACCAGTTTAAATAGTTGAAGAGCCTTAAGAGGTAAAAAAAGGCCAAAGTTTTCTTAATACAGGCACAGTATAAAGATAGAATGTTTTTCTTAAAAACACATTTAAGTACTTTTAGTGAATTTAAACATTTACATATAACACGAGGAATGAAAATTGGTACTGAATTTCCTAATGATTTGATGGGATGCTTTATCATCACAAATAATACTCCAGTGTTAAATATTATTAAATAGTATTAAATAATACTTAGCCATTAAATACTTAGTAATGAAATTTCCGTATAAAGGCAGTCCCACTAAATTTTATTTGTGAAAGCAGTTTTTGATTCAAGCTATGTACTGCCTGCTTGAACTAGTCATGTTACATTTTATGGAACATGGAGTATCTTCTTACAATAAACCACTCATCAAATATGAAGAATTTCTTCAAGCATCTTAATTACCTTTAGCTGTTGCAGCAGTTCTGAAATGCTCATTTCTTCTTGATTCTCTGCTTCAGCAGAATTGAAGTAATTCTTATTTTCCAGCATGTTGCTCACAGTTACTGATTTACTTAGCAAAATAGGGAAGGGTTTTTCTCTCCCAGTTGTAGGAACTGAGATAATATTGTCAGTTCTTTTTGGTACTTTTACTTCTGAAGCAACTTCATAGAAATCAGGCAGGCAGTAGTGAGCTTGACCTTGGCCATATTGAAGCTTGCAAGGTGAAACTGTTTTCTTAGACAGGCCTCTCTCATCTTTCATGTTTTGAAAGGTGTATGTATGTTCATTCTCATTAACCAGCTGTGAATTCTCTTGCCTGCACCCGCAGTTACCAGTGCAAGAAAAAGGATTCTTTAAAACAGGTCTATTTTCACTTAACACGTTTTTGTTTTCACCACTGGAGTTCACCTCTCTGTGCTTGTCTGAGTGATGCTCTTCAAAGGTAGGTGCCCCCTGTTCCTGCCCTGAAGGGCCTGGGAGGTGTTCTGAAGGCTCAGCTTTGCTCCCAGTGTCATCGATACTGTCGGTGAAGGAGCTCTCTGGTATCGTCTCACATTCAATGAACTGGCAGGTGCTCAGTAACTCTCCTTCAGAAAAATGACGCAGGAGGACACTGGACATCTTTGAGGCAGTCAAATGTTCCTTGCTGTCTGGTTTACTGGAACTGCCACCAGGGAATTCCTTCTTAAAGGAAGCTTCACTTCCAGGCAGTTCAACTGAAACTCCTGCTGTTCCTCTGGTGCCTCTGTGGCCACTGGAGAACTCTTCAGGCTGTGGATGAGCTGCATAATTTGCTGTTGTGTATTTCTTATCTTCAGAAAAGGTTAGGTTTAAAATACCAGAAATATCTTTTGCACATATACAGTCATTCAAATGATACAAATTATTATTATATTTCTGTGTTATTTCTACATCTCCATCACAAAGTAAGTCATCTTGTTCCTCCTCAGTTCCATCTGTGCAACAGCTCAACGCATCTAAAAATGAATTATTCATTTGGGTTTTCATCCAGTCTGCCAGTTTGCACTGCTTTGTAGTCTCCATACCCAGTTTATTTAGAATGTAAGTGCCATCGTTTCACCAGTTTGGGACAGAGCTTTTATTACTGCACGGATCAAAATCTGGAAATGCATGAGTAACAATTATTTTATACTTAAATAGACGAGAATAATATCTAGTTATCTACATTGTTAATATCTATTTATCTACCGTCTGTAGCTTTTTTTCAGAACCATCCTCTGAACAGGGGTGTTTCTGTAATTTCCACTACCCTAAACTTAGGGCCAGCTCTACCTGCCCTTGGCTCGCTAACCCTGCCGGAGTCGCATAGACAACAACAAAAACCCCAAACTTGGTCACAGGGCTCCTCGGCGCTATCGTGTCTAACATCAGGTTCAAAAATACCCAAACACAAACCCTCCCCCGCACCCTTTTCCCACCTTTCCCTCTCACCGCTCCAAAGCGCTCCTTGAACTTCTCCATAGCCGGGAAGGGGGCGGGGCCTCCCTGGGGGCGGGGCGAGCCCGAGGGGCGGGGCGGCAGGAGGTCCCTCCTGCCGCCCCGCCTCGGCACGCCCCGCCCCCTTCGCCCTCCCCGCCTTCCCATTGGCCGGTGCGAATGACGCGAGGCCACGCCCCCAGCCGTTGGGAGCCGCTCCCCTCAGGGACGCCCCCCCCCCACACCACCCTCCCCTCAGAGCCCCTGAGGAGCCGCCGGTCCCTTCGCTGCGCACAGAGGGGACACAAAGGCAGGAACAAAACACGCAGGAACAAAGGAACGAAGGCAGGAGGAGGAGGAGGAGGAGGCGGCGGAGCAGCCGGGCCCCGGGTGGGTTCTGCGCCGCGGGGAGGGAGAGAGAGAAAGACCGCCCGGGGGGAGCCGGGACCCGGCAGGGCAGCTCGGGGCGGGTGTGGGTGATGAATGGAAAATAGAAATCCGAAGGGCGGGAGCGGAACGGGCCGGGCTGTTCGTGGAAGCGGAACCGGGGGAAGGGCGAGCTCTGAACCCCGCGCGGGTTTGAGTTGGGCGCTGTGTTGTGGCACCGTCTAAAGTCTGTAGTTATGCCAGACCTAGTCTCGTTTATCCACTAGACTCTTGTTAGTGCAGTTCCTCCCCTTCTGCTTTCGCTCCTTCGCTTTTTCAGTAGTGCAGCGGAGTAAATCAGGGTTTTTTTTATCCCTTTGTTGGCCCAGCTGCAAAGACGTAAATTTTTCCACCCCCGCCTTGAAGTTGTGGGCTTTTTTTTCTCCTTTTCCAGCCTAATGTGCTATTCCTGGTAGATTCTTGCCGGCGACTGCAGGGTTCATGTATCCTGGGTTGCCATGGAGAGCTGTGCAGCCATCTCAGAATTTGGGAGGACGTGCTGAGTCCTGCATCTCGAAAAGATCAGTGAAGAGATCCCAGTCCCTCCTTATGTTCTGTCTGGAAACTCTGTACCTCTTGTTCGAGTCATAATTTTATTAGAGCTGTAAATGCTGGCAAAAAGAGTTGTCCTGATATTACAGCCCTTCCAAATTAATTTCTTATACCAGTGTCGCTTTCTACTGGTTTAATTAATGGTTACCAGGCCTTCTGAAGTGTGGTTCTGCATCCCTCGTCGGCAGGAAGGACTTTGTACTTTTAGTACTTCCGTATAAAGCTGGGACAAAACTTACCTGAAACCTAAGACGGCTTCATTGGACTGGAAGAAACCTGTGTGAGTCTTGTCTGCTGCTTCATTTAATGTGCTGTTGTTTAAATGCTCTTGAAAGTTTTCCGAGCATCCTAAGGCTACTTAGGATTGTATATTCCTGCTACTCTCACTGGAGAATTACTTCACAATTTGATGGTTAGAAAGTCGAAGTAAGTTTTGAAAAGCTTTTCACTGACATCTCATCATTCTGTTCCTGTGTGCTCATTGTCACTGGGCTTTAAGTTGTTAATGCTTTGCTTTTTCATTTTTTCCTGAGGTATTTACAGCCAACAATTCTTTCTTCACATAGGTTTTCTTTTGGTAGTCAGCAAGCCAGTCTCCTGCTATGAATGTTGAGTAAAAGCTTTGCAAAAACATAGAAAACCTGTTTCTTGTGGCATGCTGCAGGGAACAATCAATTCTGAAACTGAGTCTTGCTTCCTGCAGCTGTCACAGTGGGAATATATTGTTATTTTGCTAGAACTGTTTCTAATGTCAATTCTCAGCCTTTCTTGTCAACAAATGACAGCACAGTATGATTCAGAGAGCAGCCTGGTCTGTCACTAGTTAGGAAAGAAAAGTCTTAGTTAAAAAATAGGCATTTTCTGAGAAATAAATGCCATTTGTCTGTAGTTTAAACTATTGAATGTATGGGGATGAATGTATTTTTATGGTTTACCTGGATTCTTCTGTTTTGCTTAAAACTGGATCATTTTTTAGTTTCCCCCTGATCTTCCACTTTTTTAATTTAATAGCCAAAATGCTTGTACTTTTTGTATTTCAGGGTTTTTGTAACCCTTGTGTGGTCACTTTCACTTTCCACAACTTAGACGTTCATACTCAGATCTGGTAACTGTGTCCTGGGTTCCAGTAGCTTTTAAGCTTAAAATCGTAATGAAATTGGTTTTGTTTGAGGAGCAGGTGCTGATCTTGAGACTTTCCAGGAGATTAACCTGTTATTGCTATAATTGTTCCTGTGAATGAAAGAAAAGAGAGATCCCAGCTGCCAGAAAAAACCCTGAACTTTTCCTTAGCCCTTTAATATCAAGTCTGCTATACAAATGATAGTACCCAAAAAGGAAAAAAAAAGGGTGGCATTTTGTGGAAGACCACAATATTAGGAATGTAAAATATGGGAAAACCAGAAGTGGACAGGCTGGTAAGAGATGGTCTGAAACATATGTAGTGTTGAACAGATGATTAATGTCAAGCTGCCTTTTGGGACTCAAATTTGGCAGTGTTTGAGGAATATGGTTCTTGTTCATATAATAAAACTTTTGTGTATTATAAACCTTTTGCTAATAGGAAGGAAAGCTTTCATGCAGCTGAGTTACAGGGAATAGAAACCATATGTGATTTATAAAGAAGGCTCTCTAAATCTATTTTATTTCTTTGCTATTTCTGTTTCCTACCTTTTTTTTCCTACCATTTCCCTGCTAGTATACTGTTGGGAACTTTGTTCCTTGCATGCAGCACTTTGGATCCTGTACCTTACCCGGCAGTCCCTGGTTTGTTAGGGGATGGGAATGCACTGCTGTGACCCAATGATATTGCTGTAATAATGCATGTACAGGGGGGATAAATCCATGGGCCAGGACATGGTCTGCTCACTGTAGTATGTGTTCATTTGTGTTCATCCACTACTTCAGCAGTTTTTTACAGGTTGTAACCATGCCTTGTTCAACTGAGGAGTCCTTAGAGAGGATGGCTAATGGTTGCTGTCAATACTTGGGAACTGAGGGGCACAGGCGATGCACTCAGAAGTGCTGCTGGCATTAAACTGCCATGGGTCATTTCAGTTGTGTCATACAGGTTCTGTGAAAGCCACATCTGCTCCTTGCAGGATAAAACCTTGCTGGAGTAGCAGTGAGTTCTTTGTGCTGAATGTCTGCTTGATCTCTGAGGAGCATCACAGTGTGATGTAGGAAATCTGAAATAGCAGCTCCATTGCTTCACTTAACTCGCTGTTGTATTTTACTGCCAGTGCTTCTAAGGATTATTATTTTTTAAAAAATTTATGCAATCTCAAGTTAACGTTTCCCATTTCTCTTTAAGGTTCTTGTACAATCTGTTTATCTTCTTTCTTTTACTTACCAGGATCTCTTTTTAAGAGATGTTATAGGCCAAGAAGGAGCTGAGCTACATGGATTGTTTTATTGGAGAGGTCTGTGATCAACTTGCTCAGTCGGTTTAAGTGCAAAGAGCCAACCTTTTGTGCTGAACTCTTCCCATGTGGTGTTCTTTCACATCGTGTAACATGCTCCATTTCCCAAACTGAAGGTAGTCGAGTGTCTTGTTGCCCAAGAGAGGCCTCATATATGATAATTTGCACAATGAGATATTCCTGAAGGAGCAACATTCACATTTACCTTTAGAACTCGGTAACAAAACTCTTACTGATTCTGTGGGAATATGATTTCAACTTCTGTTACAAATAAAAGAATCAGAAGTTATTATTTTGTTGCAAACTGTGGCATTTAAATGCTTTATTTTAAAGTGCTTAAATGCAAATCTCATCTCCAGTTGTGGGATGCTTGGAAAGAAGGCAGCACAGGTTTCAGTCTGTGAATGACAATTTGTAAAAAAACTTGGAACTTGTTCTGATTAAAAAAAAAAAAAAGGAATCCTATTACCTTGATGTATCAAATATGTGAAAAATTATGAGCTATTCTGACTTTGCTCCTTTTTTTAAAGTAAGGAGAACATATTATTCTGCTATCTTCTTGTATCTTAAATCTTAATCTTGCTGCATATTAGAATGAGTTCAGTTGCCTGATTAGTTTTATGATGGGGATATTAGTTATATTTTGCTGGCACTTCATGTTATCTTCCTTTCTTATTTTATCATAGTGTGGGATTGCCTTAGTTCAGGATTTAAATAGATGACTTAACACTATCTGCAGGAATATCTGTATAATAAAAATGCTAGTGGTTACTTGTGTCAGCTGCACCGGGTTCTTTAACCTGCACACTGGACAGTAATTATGTACATTAAGTGGCAAGCTATTTTCCAGCTAATTACAGATTCTCTTAGAAAAAGGATGTTCTATTCTGGAAAGATACTCTGTGATGGAGGCACTGAGAGGGCCATCTCTGCATCACTGAGCACCGAAACCAGTCTCATATGTGCATTTGTTGCCTCTCTGTTTTGCTCCTTTGAGTGGAATTATGTGTGCTAGCTGTTTGTTTGCTTCTGTCTGCAGTACATTCTAAGGCTGTAAGTCACTAGATGTCCTGCATCATTGCCAGATGCCTTAAATATCTGTTTACAAACCTGTACTATACCTTTACTGTGCCTAATAGGGCACCTCTGCATTTACTGAGGTTAATAGAGCCGGTCTGGAACTATGACAGTATTCTGAATAGACTTGCAATGAGGCTTTGTATTTTCTGTCACTCGTGTCCATTGCTCTCCTAAGTTCTTGGCATCTTCTTCTGCTCTCAGTAATTCCATTTTAAGGAGTGAATTTACATTTCAGTCTGGTTGCTGGGTGAAAATACGGTGTTTAGTGTGCGTGGAGATACTGGATTCTGGCCAGAAACTTCAATATTCCTTGAATTAAGGTTTTAAATTTTTCTTTAGTTTTTGGTATGGTAGATGTTTCATCTTGTTTCGTAGTGTATATGCAGTTTTTATCTACTGCTTGGGTGTTTGGTGTAAAGGAAAAAAACTAAGCTGACTCCAATGGGATGAAGTTCAACAAGGCCAAGTGCTGGGTCCTGCACTTTGGCCACAACAACCCCTGCAGCGCTACAGGCTGGGGACAGAGTGGCTGGAGAGCAGCCAGGTGGAAAGGGACCTGGGGGTGCTGATCGACAGGAGGCTGAACATGAGCCAGCAGTGTTCAGGAAAGATATTGAGGTGCTGGAGCAGGTCCAGAGAAGAGCAACCAGGCTGGTGAAGGGACTTGAGCACAAGTCCTATGAGGAGAGGCTGAGGGAGCTGGGGTTGTTTAGTCTAGAGAAGAGGAGGCTTAGAGGTGACCTCATCACTCTCTTCAACTACCTGAAGGGAAGTTATAGCCAGGTGGGGGTTGGTCTCTTCTCCCAGGCAACCAACAACAGGACAAGGGGACATGGGCTCAAGCTCTGCCAGGGGAAGTTTAGGTTAGATGTTAGGAAGAAATTTCTTTACAGAGAGGGTGATCAGGCATTGGAACGGCCTGCCCAGAGAGGTGGTGGATTCACCATCCCTGAAGGTTTTTAAAAAGAGATTGGACGTGGCCCTTAGTGCCATGATATAGTAATTGGAGTTGGATCAGGGGTTGGACTTGATGATCTTGGAGGTCTTTTCCAACCCAATCTCTTCTATGATTCTATGATTCTGTAAAAATGCCAGTGAGCTCCTTGTGACTCAGAGAAGGATCCTGCTTCTGGGGTCCGTTGTCATGGTTGGTTGGAAGAGTTTGTTTATGATCTGGCAGAAATAACTTGTGTCATTAGAATTGCTTGTGTTTCAGTGCTGGTAATTGTGGATAATACTGAAAATATTGCAAGGCAATGTGTACTTGTTAAAGGAGGTGTTTGCACAACTCTTTAACAACAGAAGGGGAAAATGAACAAGAGTTTAAAGGCCTTGGCATGTTGCAGACCTTCAGCATTACTTAAAGCCCCAAATGCTCTAATCAACTGGTTACTCCATGACTAGGAAAAAACCTCCTCCTAATCTATGGAGTAAGTGGAAAGTATATGCAGGCAGTGCCAGAGGGCACGTAGAAATGTTCCTGGACTTGTGTTGGCTTGAAGAGAGTGATGTAAGAGCCAGGGCATCTCGTCAGCTATGCCAGAGATGTGAGTGGAGGGGGAACTACGAGGAATTAACCTCTGTGAAAGGACACAGGGGAAATGAACCTACTCATACCTGGAGTTAGAACTTACCAGGAGCAGGGGCCATTTGGGTTAGGTAACCAAAGGAAAGGAAACCACAACCAAAAAACCTTTCTAGAAATAGGGTGATGAATTAAATACCTCTGCTATTAACTGTGTCTGTTATAGTGCAGGACCATATTAGCAATTAGGTAAGAGATGTTGGACTTTGCTCTGGGGCACTGTTCCTCTAGTGAATTCAAATCTATGCTTTCATTTCCAGTGGTGGACATGGAGAGAGCGTCACTTTACTGTGAGCAAAATTCATCTCAGAAATGCTCTCTGCCTATTGTTGTTGTTGTGTGGTTTGGTTTGGTTTTTTATTTAATCATCTCAAGGATTGTCACCTGTGGGCCACACCAGTACAATACCTGTCCCTTCCGGCCATTTCAGGACTGTGCAATATTCAGCAACCTGCCTTAGATTCACGTGGGCCCGTGTTTGTAAGTCAGCATGGTAATGTATTTGGGGTGGAGGAGGAAGCATCTGAACCAAGAACATTAGATAGTGGTGTTAATTTATTTGCAGCTTGTCTGATGAGCCTGATAGCATAGGATGTTTATACTGGGTCTTTCCCATGCTCTGTAGTGATACAGGCTCTGCAGCGTGTGCTTTATCACACTCACCTGGGAGGAGCAGCTGAGAGAGTTATGAACCTCAGCTTTCCTGTTCTGTCCTTCAGATGCAACCCACTGATGTGTGATGGGAGCCACACTGGGATTGTGTGCTGGAAAGGGGCTTGTATGCTGCTAAACTAGTCCTTAAACAGAAGCTCCATAGTTTATTCTGGGGTTTTCTGCTCCACATATAAATCCACAGGGAGACATAGGCAGTGTTTCAGAGCAGGTATTGCTCCACGTCATCATGACCCTGAATAAAACCTCAAATTCACCTCATCAGTGAAGGTGGTTTCTGTGTGCTGTCAGCTCATCAGCTGTTGAATAGCTGTCAAAAGTGGTGCAGAGAGGAGTTTAAAATTAAGCTTCCAAGAATAACCACACAGGTCTTGGTACAGTGTCTCTTGTGTCTGCATGGTCCACTCTCACTTGTACTGCGCTCAAGGTTTGGCAAAAATAGTTTTTTTCCCAAGATGGCAAACATTAAAGTTCATTCACAGGGGAATATGTATTACTGCAGAAATGCTAATGATGATGCTGTTTGCTATGTAAATACAACATTAAATGTGATATGGAATTTAAAAGGGTTTTTTGGGTGACTTATTTTAGGCTTATTTATTCAGGTAAATTTTAAAAATATCCTTGAACAGCACTGAAGACTAAAATAGAAAACACTCTGTTTCTGAGTCTTCCTTGTTCTATGCTCTTTCATATTTTGAAGGTCTGGAGACAAGCTAATCTCTATTTCAGTAATGCAACTGTTGGGGTTTTTTGTTGTTGTGTGGTCTGTGTCTTCCTCCACAGGATATGCAAAGCTCTGTTTTGTTTTCAGATAATCCAGTTCGAGCTTCTTTTCCTCCTTCTTTTTCCCTTTCCTCGCACATGCTATAGCATCTTCCCAAAAGGAAACTCAAACTTAGTTCACCCTTGGGAAATTCGCCTTAATCACGGAACAACAAATCTCTGTTGCCAGTTGTCCTAAGGAAATACAATTTGTGCAGTTGATCTGCCTCTGCCTGTGCTTTCCTCTTGTAGCTTTTGATTCTCTCAGTCAGTGATGACTTCACTTGGCTGATGCTCCTTTCCCATAGCTTTGTGAGAAGTAGCAGATGGGTAGAGAAGGCATGACTTGATCGTCTCCTTTTGGGAAAGGCAGGAAGAACAGAACTGTTCAGCCCCCAAGTGACCAGTCAGGATTTGTCAGCCTGCCAGCCACGTGACTGTGTTAGATAAGCACAGCAGTGCTTTTAACCAGCTGACAAACTCCAAAAAGAAAGGTGTGGGTTGAGGGAAGGAGCAAATGAAGGGGCAGAAATGCACCATTTTAAGGCGATGCAGGAGGTAAAAATCATCTTCCTCTCCCACTGTATCGTGATTCCTGGTTCTGTAGACAGCTAATAAATGGCAGAATTGGCTTTTTGTTGCTTGCTGATGAAGTCGCACCTGTGTGGAAAACCAGTTTTCTGCCAGAAGTTAAGATGAAGGGATCTGTCACAGACCTTCAGTGTAACCAAGAACTGCAAACTGATTAAAGGGGTTGTCTGCCATAGTGATAAAATTCATAGTGTGTAATAAATCGTTGCTGAAACGGGAAATGCCTTAAAACATGAAATGCTTGTCTGGAAGTTGCAGTAACTAGGACTATTAGCCTGCAGACAGGCTTTTGGGAAAGAAATTGCTGTCAAGAACTGGAAATGTACTGATCAGATTTAAAGATAGAGGTGTCTTGGTTTCTTCTGTAACTTCTTCTGAAGTGATTTTTTTTTTTTCCAATCTACGTGAAATTTTAATTACAAATTCAAGGTTAGGAGAAAACCTGTTTCACTGCTAGTTATGCTGACAGCATAGACCTTCTCCTGATGCCTGTTAGTTCACTTGGCTTTTCTGCTGAAGTCTTGTGCCCCCTGAGTCAATCCCGTGTTGATCACCAGCTCAGGCGAGGCTGGTTGCTCAGATACTCTCAGTAGTTTCTCAGTAGTTAAGGTGCATCAGCTGAAAGAGCAAGGCTTAGTTTGCTGTAGCACAATCCTCCCAAGGCCAGGTTACACCTGAGAGGTGCCATTTGTGGAAGTGTTTGACTTCCACCTCCTGAATTTTGAATTCATCACTCTAATTAATACGCTTTGAGTTTGCTTACTGATTACACTTTGGCCTGGCTGGAGGAGTCATTGACATCCTAATGACTTACGGGTGAAGAAAGGAGCTGTGAAGACCAGACCCAGTAATTTTTGTAGGATATGTGATGATGATGTGTTGGCCAATGTGGGTGTGTCCGTATCACCCTCCCAAGACTTGGAATGTGCTGTATGGCCAGTAAGGAGGCAAGAAAGCAGGAGCAGTGCTTCCAGCTGCTGGGAGATGGTGGCATCAGTCAGAGGATGTTAAGTATGAGGACAGAAGTGTAGCTCAGATACAGTGAAGCTGTAAACAGCTGATGTGGAATGTACCACTAAAAATAACTGATATTTAAATAAATATTTTAAAAGAGGTGTTCTGATGTACTTTTAAGTATAACTCTGGGTTTTTTAATTAAAGTTGGCAGCAGGAGTGCTCATGGGTGGTTGCTGCAGACTGGGTGGCTCACAGCCATCTGCCTGTATGAGTTGTCTGATGCGAGGCCCGGACAAACTTCCGGAGAGCAAATACCTGTAACACGGTGTGCCCGGTGTGTGGGCTGCAATGGTATGGTAAACTGCAGGTGTCACGCTTCATAATTGCAAAAATACACCCACACCCACTTGTTGATGCCAAATAATTCTAGTGATGAGCGTGGAAGGGCAAAATAGTTGTTTAACTGGAAGAATGTGGATAGTCTGTTTGAGGGCTGCTGTGAAGGTAGAGTATGATAGGAAGCACGATGGGAATGGGAAGTAAAGCTGGTACTTGATAAAACTAATGAGAGGAGAAGGCATGGCCTACATTGACAATTAAATATAGAGGGTTGCATTTTCTTCTGTTGACAGCTCTGAATCTGAGCTCTGTTCTTGTCTTTTGACACCTCTGCAGTCTCCTAATGAAATATGCATTTGTGAGTTACACAACTGTATGTTTACCTGCAAAGGAAGGTAATATTAGTACTGAGCAATAAATATGTCACTGTCTCTACTAAAAATATGTTTAAAAGCGGATAGACTTTTGAATACAGAGTTTCTTTTCTGTTAATCTTTTCCCAGCTAGCCTAAACATGTCTGATGTTTACGTGTTGGCTGCTGCAATCCCTTTGAAGCAGAGGTTGGAGCTCATATCACAGTGCTGCAGCACTTTGGCATGGCAAGCCAGTGTAAACACAACACCCCTCACCTCCCAAGCCCCCATTCCTCCCCACTTTTCTTTGAGGAGCAGGGAGGGGAAAAGGGAATAGAGCTTAAACCTTTGCTGGCTGCTGTGCTCATAGTATTCCAAGTGGGACAGTCTCCAGGATGGATGATCTCCAGATGGGATTCTGCCTCCTAGTTCTCACTGCAGAGGGCCTTCAGCTGATTATCCAGGTTTCAGCAGCACTGTTTATGTGTAAAGCAGTTTGTGGTGTGTTCTATACCATGTCTTTCATTCTGTAACTTCCATCCTTTAAGCTTTTTTGCTTAGACCTTCATGAGGCCAAAGAATCCTAACAAGGGTAAATTATTCGAAGTTTCCAAGAGAAGAAAGAGCATTGGTTTTTGTTAAACCTCCTTTGCTTTCTCACTTGCCTGCAGGAATTGCCATATGTATGTAGAAGGCTTTGGCTCTGCCTTTCAGTTCTTGATTGACGTTTCCTGCTTGGTAGGAGCAAGTGTGATGCTTTTACATCAGCTGCAAATGGTTATGAGTTATTAACTGACTATGAGATTTCAAGCCAAGCATCTTGTGTTCCCTTTGCAGACACTGAATGGAGCTGAAGGGCCTCAGATGAAAGAACATGAACATTTCTGAAGGTGTGAGATGTGTCTGACGGTGACCTCCTAACCTTGGAAATAAAGAAGAGTTTTCCTACAGGAGCTTAGGATATCTTTGCTCCAGCTTCTTAACTACACTAACTGGAATGGTGTTCTGACAACGATTCTGTGAAGTACTTACCCTACAGTATTACTTTCCCTGCTGATAATGCAGCTCCATGGAGGACAGTAACACTTGGATAAGCATGCGCGAGGATCGCTCCTTCCACGTACGGTACAGGTAAGGATGTGCTGATTTTACTGTGCTCTTAATAATACAAAACTAAACAAGTTGCAACGAATAGTTTGATATCTCTCTTAGTTATTGAAACTGCTTTTTTCTTTTCTTGATTTTTGAGCAATGAAAATTGACATTCTCTGTGTAGCAGATTATATTAATATAGTTACATGATTGTATAGTATTAGAACTGTGCATGGTAGCAAATAGTACATAATTGTTTGTATTTCTTTGTATTTTGGGTAGAATGATATGAAGTATGATCCTTGCAGGGTAGTACCTGCTCCCTCTTCTTCTAGCTGTGGACTGCCCATTTGAATTGTTTTGTCTGCTGCAGTTCTCTGTAATTATCCCATATTGCTTCTTTAAACAATGAATTTGTAGGTACACTGTCACCTAGACATTTTTAGGTGTCACTGTCACCTTGTCACAGCCAAGAGTGGTGTTTTCCTTGCTTAAATGAAGAGATTTGATTGATGGATGGAAGCTGCTTTGAAACCTTGGACTCAAAAATACTGTTATTGCAAGTGAAGAGGGGTGTGAGAAGTGTGAGTTTCCTTCTGAGAGCTTTTATAATTTTTCTTCTGAATCCCCTTTACAGATGTGGGGCAACATGTTGGCATTGCAGAGTGGCTGTAATGACCCTGAACAACAGAAGCTTTGTGTAGTGCATGGGTTTGGAAGGGTAAATCTTGCAGTTCATTCAATAGGGAGGGACACTGGAACATCAGAATGGTTGTTTTTAAAAGACATAAAAAGCTTTATTCAACCCCCAACCTGGTCATTCTTGTTATAGAGTCCTTTTTCTAGCTGGCTAACAGCAACAAGGCACTACCTGTATTTGTAGGACAGCACATGCTTAGATTTAATTCTGAAAATGTTCTGACAGAGTTACATTGCTGTTAGATTGGTATTGTCTTCTATTTCTTAGAAGTATTCTGGTTAGCAGTGCAGTCAGCAGGAGGAGTTTTTTCATCGTCGGTAAGGAGAAAAAATAAATTGTAATTTACTGTCTGCTCTCTTTATTTTGCTAAAATCTTTATAGTGTGGCTTAGACAGCAGGAATCCCTAAGTGTGTGAGTGTGATGGTTCTCCTGTGCTGTGTTTCTTTCACGTTCCTCCCTCCCAGCTTTCCTCTAACGTGTCCCCCACGCTGTTGCTGATGCTCTTGGTCCTCCACAGATAAGCACAGAAGATCTTTGCTCGCTTTTTAATAAAAGCAGGAGCTGTTCAGGGTACTATTATAGAAGTAAATGGATGAAAAAAGCATCGTGGCCAATTGTCTGGTTTAAATTGACAACCCAAAAATAACTTGGAAAAAATTGGCAAGCACATTTAGGGCAAAATGTGTTACTGCTTTATTTCAGTACAGGCTTGAATGGTACCAAGTAAAAATATTAACAGTAAAATATTAATGGCCTTATTAAGCCTTTCTCTAAGAACTGTAACCTGATTGACATTAAAAAAAATCACGCCATAATACTTTTAATTTAAAAAATATTAAACTGTTCTAAAAGTTATTAATGCAAATTAATTCAGTATATTGAACTGAAACTTTATGATTATTTAATTCAATAATCATAATTAATTTTTAATTTCTTAATATTTAAATTAAAATTTAATTTGGAAATATTTATTAGGTTGTAGTTTAAAATTTAATGCAGGAAATTATGGAGGGGAGAGGGCATTACCAGTTTTAAAATATTTTTAATTACAGATATTGTCCCAGGCTCATTTGGGTCTGACTGCTCTTTCCTTCTTCTTGGCAATCCATCAGAACTGATTTTAAAAGAAGCTGGTGGTCCACTCCTAAGGAAAGGCTTTACTATGGGTCTGTTTCTCACTGTCCAAGCTGTTTCTTTCTCCCCACAGTTCTTGACCAGTATCATCACTTTAGCAGCATAAAAATGCTCATGCTGGTGGAAGGACACTGGTTTTTATTCTTTTGTTGTTTAGTGACTGAAAATAAAATGCTGATGCTACTAAATGGGATAATAAATGATCTATAGCGTGAATATTTGTAAGACTTGCTTGTCTTGACCTACTTAATTTACAGACCAAAAACTTGTCACTGCTTTTATCTTGATTGGAGCAAAAGAACCCAAAATCCAGGTGTGTGTTCCTTGGTGTGTGTGTTGGTTTGTTTCTGGCTTTGCCACCAGGCGTGGTGTGAGGAACCAGCGTGCAGTGGGGGTGAAGCTGTCAGAGTGGTCAGTGTGGAGGCTCCTGCATTCCACGTGGGAACCCATAGCAAGTGCAGGAGTCAGGAGTGATGTGTGACCTTCATTACAGGGTGCTGTGGGGTTAGCACTGCTGTGCACCTCAACTAGAGAGATGTAATAGGGGGTTTGGTTTGTGTCCAGCTGTGTCATGTGTTTCTTGGCAAACTGATGGCAACCTTGCTCCCCCTCAAGAGCAAAAAATCCTCTTATTGGGAACTGAAGTGACTAAAACTAAATTGTCTTTAGAGATTTTAGTAATCGATGAGTCTTAGTGCCTTCCTCTCTTGCCTTACTTCTTACCTGTTTTCTTGTTTTATTGGAAGATGGGAACAGCTGAATGGAGGGAGATTCCAGAATGGGAGAAAAATCCAGGGAGCTTGGAGGGGAGGCAAAATGTTGAGGGTTTATATTCTTATAAGTGTAAAGGTTTGAATGAGAACATGAAGGAGGTCAGAGAAGAACACAGGGGAAAAAAAGAAAAGAAAAGAAAAAAAAGGGAGCCAGGCAAGAGGAAAAGCTTAGAAGGGACAGATAAGGATGAGGTAGTTTTACAAATGAGAAATTATTGAGAAGATGCCAGCCTTTCAGAGAACAGGTCCAGGCAGCTATAAACAGAATAATAAAATGAAGCCCTGTGTGAGCAGTTCCACAGTAATATCTAGGAGAAGGTTATCCTGTTCAGCAGGAACACAATTTCATTAGAAGTACCAAGATGAATGGGCCTTGTTCTCTTCTCCTCTCTGGAGATTCAATGTATCTTTTGTTTGGTCACTGGGTGTTGAGTAAATAATTCAATTCAGCCCTGGGAACAGAGAAAGTAATGTCATATTCTCCTTGTAACTATTTAATGACTTCTTAAAACATTGATAGCCTAGCCCTGCCTGGTCTGCCAACATGCTGTTTAACCATTAGTAGCGACAGGTGGAGAACACCTACGTAAATCTTAAAAAAACCCAGCAAAACAAAAAAAGTGTTCATTTGCATAAGTCCTTTAAGTCGAGGAGTGGAAGAAAAAAGAAAATCCAAACCAAAACCAAACCCCTTCTGAACACAGTTTTGTACGATGGATAAGCCTAGAAAACTTTTAAAATAACTGAATGATATCATAGCTCTTACATAACTTGAATAAAATATTAATATTGAGTGCAGGCAACTGAAATGGTAGGTCAGTAAGAATGGATCCAAGTGGAATTAAAGTTTAATTTGCTGTACAGATTCTAGCAACCTGTTAACACAACCTTTCTAGAGTTGGGCTCAAGAGTAATGTTAAATTTTGAGTTCCTTTTTTACTCACACAATTACCAGTTCCCATTTTCATTTGCTTCCTGTAATTCAGGTTGAATCGAAGTGCTCTGTAATAAGAGCTGATTTTCATCAGTCTGGGTGAGAGCCTTTTGCTTCGTAGTTATTTGTGTTGTGTATGAAAGGACCCAGATCTTTCATTTTCACAAGCCATACTGAGTCTAGGGTTGCAAAGTCAAACGATTATGTTTCAAGCTCCCTGAGAAAATGGTAGTGCTGCCTTGGCATTGGGAGCCTTTGGAGTGTGTGAAAGGAGATGAATGCAGCCTGTCAGGGGAGTTCCTGCAGCACTCTCTGATGTTGGCCTTGTACCTTTTTTAACTTTGCCTTTTCTCCAGTGAGCACGTGGCTGGTGCATCACAGTTGCATATCAAAACATGACTTATTCTTTTTAATGGAACAAATTCACTGACAGAAGTAGGGTCCAGTGTAGCATTTTGACTATTATGTCACACACACATTTTGCTGGAAGTTCTGCCCTTTTACGCCGTTCAAGCTAAAAATCTAAAGAACTAAGAATCTAAAGAACGAGTGTGGCTGTGCAATGGTCTAAATCTTTGCACTGAGAAGCACCATATTTTCTAGCCATCACTCTAATTGGACATGTCAGTTAACATGAGGTGCCCGGAGAGAACCTCTGTGGATAGGATTAAGATTACCCAATGAAGTGTTTTAAGTCCTAAACCTTCAGTTGCTGATGGTGTAATCATTCCTGCCTGGTACTTAACTGTACTTAATCATTTCTGCCTTTTTCTGTCTTACCTTCAACACATGCACAATGTAGTGAAAACCAGGTGGTGTGTTGAAGGAATGCTTTAACTTCTCTGAGAAGAGTTTCCAGACCTAAACCACTGCATGTGTTATGGATATCCAACCTGGGAAGCTGGGCCTGGGAAGAACTTCATGCCCGCGTTACCTTTTGCTGTTGGCATTTTTAGCAACCACCGAGCACACGGTGCTTTTCATTGCAAAAGCTAATTATGTCTGTCATCTCCTTGTGCTTAAGTTGTGGAATGTCGAAGACCAGCAGGTATGGTGCTGTTCGTGTTGGTAGTTTATTGTACGTATGACCCGAATTCTTCTGGTTCTCTTGCAAGTCTTTGGGTTTTTCAAATGTATATTCTTCTTGCTCAGATCTGAAAAGAATTCTGTATGATCTGTTTTCTTCCAGTTTAGGGAAATAAGGAAATGTAAATATTTCAGGTATGTTAAATACTTCATCACTATGTCTTGTCAAAGCAGCTGTTGTCTGGTGTTGCCATTAAAATAACTGTTGGAAAAACCAGCATTTGATTGTCTAATTTTTGGCAATATTAGGACGTGCTTTTTAAACAATTACAGAATGTCTCTTTACTGAGTTTTCTTTTGGAAAAAAATCTTTTAAAAAATAGCCTGATGATGTTTTTGCAAGCTTCCTAAAATGCACGTATCTTGCAAAAGCTAGAGAACCATCTTGCTTCAGGACTGAGACCTGAAATTGTCGTCTTCCTTCTCCTCCTCTCCCCTACCTCCCTTGCATCCTAAAACTGGAAAGCAGGAAATGTTTGTATATAATTGTTAACACTTATGACATGTTACATTTGTACACCTGAATTCACAGTGGCAAAAGTGCACGTGAATGGTTTTTGTCACTGTAGTTCTCTATCAGCTTCTTCATTCATCGTCCAAAATGTAATCTGCAAATTCATCCATGACTGCGGTGTTTTGTACCTGTATAATTACATAAATATTTGTTGATAATAATAAACACTATTCCCATGGGTTATGGAGTGGGGGTTTCATTGGTGTATCAGTGAAGTAACTTGAATGGACATACATTTTGCCATTAATTGAATGTAGATATTTTTTCTTACATTGATACTTCTCATAGCAGTGCCAGTATAAGAAATGAAGTGCCACGGAGTATTGAATTACATAGGAAACAATTTGGGGAAAATTAATCATGGTTTTTAACACACAGAATATTCTAATTTAACTTTTTCCTTAAAACGTTTTGCAGGTAACTGTCGTATCAGCCTAAAAATTAAAGTGCTTATGTTAAAAAATTAAAGTGCTTTGTCAAAATCAGTATTTGTCAATAACAACTTGATTTCTAGGTCACTTTTCTGAAATTATCTAGATGGTGAAAACTGCATTTTTTAATCCTACTGGTGCTATATATGGGCAAAGCAGTGTTTGGGTTTCCTCCCTGAGACTGAAAAAGAAAGAAAACAAGTTGATGTGATGTTAAGTTTGCTCATCACCATTGAAGTTGCAAGTCCCGTTTCAGCCCAAGTTTCTGTGACATTATAACACAGAGCTCAGGGGTTGTACCGTGGTGCTGACTCCCTCTCCTAGGCAAACAGAAGCCCTTGAGTAAAAGTCCTCTTCAGAACTCAGGTGATGGACAAAGTACTGCAGTGGAGTGACTGTTTGCTTGTTCCTTCCACTGTGCAGGATGGAGGCTTCCTGCCTGGAGCTGGCTCTGGAAGGGGAGCGCCTGTGCAAAGCAGGAGACTGCCGGGCTGGGGTGTCTTTCTTTGAAGCCGCTGTCCAGGTTGGGACCGAAGATTTACGTACCCTGAGTGCTATTTACAGCCAGCTGGGCAATGCCTATTTCTACCTGCATGAATATGCAAAGGCCTTGGAATACCACCACCATGATTTAACTCTTGCAAGGTAATCTTGCGTCTTTAGCCGTGTTCTCCATGTCATCCCATTCCCGTCGAGAGGAACAGCAGACTGATCCCTCTCCTGCCAAACCCGGCTATTAATACTGGCTAATGAGTGAACGTGGTGGTGCCAGAGGGCTGGGGGTCTGGCAGGTCACTTGGTTGGCCTCTAACCTGGCCTAGCACCATAATCCTAGGACTGAGGCCTCACCAGGGTTGTGGATAATTAAGTGGCTTCTTTAAATCCACCCTTTCTTTAGCCTTTCCTGTTTCTAAAATTCAGTCTTTCTGGTTCTCCAGAATGTTAAGCTGCTGTCCTTTGCTGGACAGAACTCATACATGTTCATCTGTGTAAAACTCACAGTGTAATATTGTGAAATCTAAACCCCTGTGCATTTCATGTGCTACTTATGCATCTGAGTTTTACTCATTTGCTATAGATCCATTAAAAGACACAGGCACCTAATGTACTTCACCTCAGTTTAGGCATAAATCTATTCTTCCCCCTGCCTTAGCCTGCTCAGGTGCTGTGACCTTGTGGGAATTTGTTTTGTTGTGTTATCCCCCAGGTACAGGTCAGTGGTTCAGTGGCAGTCTCTTGCTGGAGTCTCATTTAGCATCCAGGAATGTCCAAGCTTTCTAGGAGACTGGTGTGTCTTGGCAGTGACAGGAGACTGTGACAGTCAATAAAATGCAGACACAGTTAAACCTCTGTTTCTAACGCTGGGACTGTCTTTCAACATCGTCATTAGGAATTTTCTCTCTATTCTCTTCATAAAAGACATGAACTTGTAAAAAAAAAGTTAAGTAGATGATCATAAATTCATGTCATTGTCTGCCATACGTTTATCATCTACTTGGTTTCAAATTGTGCACTATTTCCTGGGCACTGCATTTCTGTAATTTTAGGACAATTGGAGATCTGCTGGGAGAAGCTAAAGCTAGTGGGAATCTGGGCAACACCTTAAAGGTACTTGGGAATTTTGAAGAAGCTATCGTTTGCTGTCAGAGACATCTGGATATCTCCAGAGAACTTAATGATAAGGTAAGAATTGTGTGGGAATCTGGAATTAAACTGCTAACACACATTGCTGAATGATGTTGTACTGGTAAGGAGTGTGCCACCTCTCAGAGGGAAATAAATACTGAATATTCAATTATTTCTTCTAGACAGTAAGAATTATTAGTTGTAATGTAATTGTTTGCACCTGGAAAACTACAGATCCAGGTTAAATATTATCCTATGTTGTGGTGAGTTTGTTCTTAATTTGATTTCTAATGGTGAATGACCTCAGGAATTATTCTCTCTTGCACCTCAAAAGGAAGTATATGCAAAACAATGGGACTGAGGGCTATGACTGGGTGGATGGTAAGAGCACATTCAGAGTGGACAGAGTGTGTCCTGATGAGTAGTTAACACATTTTTTCCTATCTGTGGGTTGTACAAATAGTTGTTGTGACAAAAGACTTTGAAGCATGAAATTTTAATGCCTTATTTTACTTTTGGTTTAGGTTGGAGAAGCAAGAGCACTGTATAATCTGGGAAATGTGTATCACTCTAAGGGGAAAAACGTAGCTAATGCAGGGACCCACGATCCAGGGGACCTTCCAGATGATGTGAAAAATGCTTTGCAAAAAGCAGCAAATTACTATGAGTAAGTAAATGTTGGGGATTGGGAGGATATGATCATGCAGTTCATTAGAATATGGGAGATCTGTAGTGTCATGAGCTAAACTGTGGAACTTCTGTGCAGAACTGAGGTACCTGTCCTGTGATTTTGTTCTTTTCAGTGGTTTTTGTTATGCCCTCATTTTTAGTGCACCTCACGAGTCCTTCCCTGAGGTTAGAAACCAGTAGTGCTCTCCAAACCAGGCTGAGTTGCCAGGACCTTGTTACACTTGTATATTTATACAGAAGTGAGCACTGGTTTGAGTAAGAATGCAGTGGAGTTCAGTACTTCACAGGAAATGTTTCCTATTCAGATCTGTGGCTGCATAAAGGCCATTGAAATAGACCAAAATAGAATATCTCTCCTTTTCTATTATATAAAGATTTTTAAATTATTACTTAAATGACTGTGAGGAAAAAAACCCTCTTAAAAGTCACTATTCTTATCCTCACTTTTCCCCAAAACAGGGAAAACCTGACAATAGTAACAGAGCTGGGTGACAGAGCAGCACAAGGACGTGCCTTTGGAAATCTGGGAAACACACACTATCTTCTGGGCAACTTCAGGAGTGCAGTTTTAGCCCATGAACAGGTACAACTTGTGCAAATAAGGAGTTCTGTTCTAGCAAAATGTCACTGGTTGCTCCTGACCTTCAGTACATGCACTGTGTTGGATCTTGTTGCAAGCTTTTTAATTCAAGTTTTCAATCTTAATGGCAGAAGTTCAAGTTTGGCTGATCTTATCAAGCATTGCTGACCTAAAGAATGCATTTTTTCATGCATTTCTGTATGCAAATGTATGTTACAAAGTATAAAATGGGGTAAATAATGCAATTATTTCACATTTTTAAGCGTCTCCTAATTGCAAAAGAATTTGGTGATAGATCAGCGGAAAGAAGAGCGTACAGCAACCTTGGAAACGCCTACATCTTCCTGGGTGAATTTGAAACCGCTTCAGAATACTACAAGTTAGTTGACTGCTTCTAAATACAACTTACACCTCTTGTACAGTTTACTTCTGTTGTGCCTGGCACTGTAGCTCACTGTAGAAGAGCCATCTCTTGAACATATACTTAGGAGAAAAACTGGTGTTTGTTTGGCAAAAATATTTTTTCCTAGCTGTGTAACTATTCTGATTCATTTAAGGGAGGGATTAGTGGGGTTTGGTTTTTGTTTGTTTTTAACTCTTTTGTTACTCTAAATAGATTCCTCTCAGCACTCTAGACGGACATCTTTCTGTTCCTAGGCATTTATTCCCCTTTATTCCAGAACCAGGCATCGCTGTCTTGGCTCTTAGCAAGTTCTGCAAGGATCTGAGTAACTTTCCTACCCTGAGCTGGGTGGCTGCCTTGGGTGTGCTCAGTAGCTGAGAGAGGTGGTGCATGGCAACACAAATTCACATCATCCTGAGTCCCTATTTTCAATCCAGGCTTTTTTCTTGACCTCTGCACCACTGAAGAATAGCTGGTCTACTTGGGAAAGTAAAAGCCTGGCAAAGACACAGTATATGTGTTATTAGCATCCTACTTGGATCTCAGAGCTTACTTGTTCTTTTTGAAAGGGAAAAAAGCCTCAGTACTGAGCAGATTCCTCTTAGCACTCAAATGCTTCTTGCCCAGCAGGGCCAGGCTGGCTTGGTGAGTGTTGGCCTGCCCTGCTCCTGCTGAGGGGCAAGTCATCACTGCAACACTGGTACTAAACTGTGTCAAACTGCATACTGTCAGGGAAACTCCTACAAATTATTAATGAAGCAATAAATTAAAATTAAAAGATGCTGTTTGAGGGATCAGCCTGCTCTCGAATGGAGTAGATGGAAATACTTTGAGAAGGGCAATGGAAGACTTTACAAGTCTAAGAGTGTCCGAGTTTACAAGATAATAAGTAATTTATTAGCTGATAATTTGCCAGCTAAGTTTCTTAATTTAAGTTGTATAACTGATTTTTAGTTGTGCAGGGATACTTCTGAAAGCTTTTCCCTGCAGTGATTTTTGAGGTGACTAACCCTCCCTTCCAGGAGGACACTCCAGCTGGCTCGGCAGCTGAAGGACAGAGCTGTGGAAGCGCAGGCCTGCTACAGCCTGGGGAACACCTACACCCTGCTCCAGGACTACGAGAAGGCCATCGATTATCACCTGAAACACCTCGTGATTGCTCAGGAATTAAACGATAAGTAAGCCCTAGGAGACTGTTTAATGTATGTGTGACACTGACAGCAAATCCTGTTACCTCCAACTCCGCTGTCATTGTTCTGCATGTGACAGCTGAATTAATGGGAATTCCCTACAATGCTGGGCTCTGGTTTTCATATGGAAAACAAAAGTTCCTCATGAAGGTATTGCAGTTAATGAGTCTGAGATGAAAGACGAATTGATGACTGACTGTGTCTACATCTTCTCCTGTCAGCACTGTCTCTGTAAATTAAGGAAAGAAGAAGCAGATCTCTCTTTCATGACTCCATTATAATAATTTTGCATACTTTCATAAAAATCTGTCTCTGACTTGTGCACAAATTAATAATATGGGAGGGAGTGGGGAAAGGAAAATAACACAGTAGCAAATAATGTTTATATTACAGTCATGATTTCTAAGGCTTTTTTTATAATGTTGGGTACAACTAAAAGTTTTTACATCATTTAAATGTACATATTCTACAATGTACATATTCTCAGTAAGTAGAATATAGGAAGAATAGTAAGGCATGCAGTCTGAGGACAAGCAAAGTAGGTTATACAACATTCCATGCTTGCAAAACTGAGTGACTTGTTTGCTGTGAGCTTAAAATTGTGATTTAGATTTGTTCATATTTATGGCAGTACTCAGATCACACTCCTTTAAATGCAGTATTTAAGTGTTGGTGTTGGAATGGTGTGTGATGACAGCCTCCCTTTCTCTCGGCACAGTGATCCTTCCGTGGCAGTGCTGTGCAAACCTGACCCCTGGTGTTCAAGGTGTAACTGAAAATGTCTGTGTGCTTTCAGAATTGGGGAAGGAAGAGCGTGCTGGAGTTTAGGGAACGCATACACTGCTCTGGGAAACCATGACCAAGCCATCCATTTTGCAGAAAGGCACCTGGAGATTTCAAGAGAGGTATGATTTGCATAACCCCACACTCTTGGCTGTTGGCTTTTACTCTCACTTACACAGTGGTTTTATGGAGATGTATCCATGCATTTGATTTTGAGTAATGCAATGCATTTTGAAGGCAGAGACTATTGATTCCACATCATTTCAGCCCCATCTCACTGCAGCTTGCTTAGTTCTAGTGTCAGCTTTCATAATCTCATCATGAAATCCAAGTCGAGTGCCCAGTAGAGGTTATTTTAGGCTCTATGTACCTGTTAGTTGTAAGGTACTTCATTAAAGTTCTCTCAGAATTCAACCAGGAAAACCTTTTCAGCCTTTTTCTCTCAGAAATCTGGGGGACAAGCACTGCTTTATACTTTCATGTGTGTACGGGTTTAGGTGATATAACTGCTTATTTTGTTTGCTCGAAGGTAGGAGACAGAAATGGAGAACTCACAGCCAGACTTAATCTCTCAGATCTTCAGATGGCTCTTGGATTAAGCTACAGTACAAACAACTCCATGATGTCGGAGAGCCACGTGGGAGAGAACAGTTTCAATGGTACGTGCCTCTTTCTCCAACACTTCCGAACAAAGACTTCAGGAAGTGTTGTGTTCTTTACTGACCACACTGCTGTGCACGTTTGCTTGGTTTTCTCCCCACCAGCAAAAGACAGCTGTTTTTGCAGTATTGGATCCTTCAACACCTCCTTTTCTGGAGGATTTACATTGTGAATCACTGGTTACTGCTTAGTTTCTTCACATGGTGTTTCTAGTCGTGTGTCTTCCCCCCTTTTTTAATGTGGGAGATGTATCTATTTGCTGTCAGATCCCATCTTTTCCTTCCATCTTAGCAACACTGGGGTTACAACAGAACCCAATGCATTTGCTGTTCCTCTGTTCAAAGATCCACAGTCCTTCTCTCGTGTCCTATGAAAGCAACTTAGGTAGCTTAGATTTGGGTGGGTTGTGTAGGCTGCTTTTGCTTAGTGGTTAGTTATTCTCTGCTGATATATTTAACTGCACTGGTTTGGAAGTCAGAATTGCTGTGCCTTGGACCTTACATGAGTACAGCCACAGCTCTGACGATAAATCACCATAAATTTTGATGATAAAAAGATGAACTTGATTCTCTCTTGAAGGTACCAGACCGAGAGTAGGACGCCGTCACAGCATGGAGAACATGGAACTGATGAAATTAACCCCAGAAAAGGTTGGCACTTTGCTTCTGTTCTGCTGCTCACACTGCAGTGAAACGTTGCTAAGGGTTTGCTGATGTGCCTCCCCTTTTCATTTAGTTGATCTGAGGAGTTACACAACAGCAGGTCTAACCATACTAACAAATAATAGTTTTGTGTGTGGGTGTGGAGCGTGTGACACAGATAATGGCTGTAATGGCTTGTGGGAGGCTTGCTTTATTCACTGCACAAATAAGAAAGAATGGGGTCCTGTAGGTGCATCAGAGTTCCTTTCATATCTTTATAGAGATGGTTTGAGGTTGCAGCATGAAAGTGATTCAGAGTAAAATTTCTAAGCTTTAGTTCAGCTGTTCTGAACATTTTTTCTTTGGCTACAGTCATTTTATAGGCACTTAAAATATGTGGGTTTTTTCCTTTTGAGATTTCAACCAACTTGCAAGCCATCAGGAGCTTCAATATCCATCTTGAGTAAGGATGCTATTGCAGAAATGCTGCACCTGAGTCACAGATAGGCAAAGCAACTTCCCCCAGGCTCAGAGAAATCTCTTGGACACAAGAGTCCCTGATTAAAATCCTTGTGCCACTCTATGAGAGCCTTCCTTCAGTTCTATCCTTTCAGTAGTGGGCTGGCAGTTCTACATGAATGACTCCAGTGGCAAACTGAAATGGATATTTTTCCCTCCCCACTGGGATATCTAATTCCTCTCTTCAAGTGAGGCAAAGCCTGTCATCAGTTGATCAAACAGGCAATAAAATCTCAAAGCATGTGGACAGTGGGTCCAGCTGAAGTCAGTGCTGATGCTCACAAGTCTCTTTGGGTACTGGTTGAGAAGGACTATGCTTAGTCCAGGGTGAGGCCTCTGCAGGAAACATCTCATCTTTTGGCCACCAGCAGCTGTGTTTTGTTACTCTCTGAATCTGTTTATCTGGGATCACTTTTTAAAAATGTTTATCCTCTGATAGTGCCTTAAATATAGTGTTTCCTGTAGATTTTTGTACTTAATCTACTATTGCAGTTTAGCACTTCATAAAGGACTTTTTTCAAGGTCCTTGGTGAGTAGATTCTGCAAATTCATTCCATGCATGTCTCTGGTATCTGGAACAATGCATGACAGGAGCACTACGGTGTCACTGGACAGGATGCCATCTTCTTGCAGTCACACTCTGTGTGCTGGTGCTCAGGAAGCCTTGAAAAGGCTTGGGGTAGGCACTGTTGCTGGAAGATTTGTGACTGTGTTCATGCTTTGTGATGTTTAATCAAGAAAGGTTTTGTTTTGTTTTTATTCAGTTATAAGAGTCTGTCAGTTGTGGATAATTCTGTTTATTTTAGAAGATATTTTAGGGAAAATCTGACAGGTTGACAAAACTCCCATTCTGATCTTTAATGAAACAGATGGTTATTCCTGTTTGCTCTTGTGCTGGCATTGTTCTCCCTCTTCCTTTTCAATCTTTACTGAGAAGTTTGTGTATATGAAGGACTTCAGGGAAGGCTTGTTGAGCATCTGGGTTTGTATAAGGGTTTGTTTTGCTCTAACACTTTGTAATGTGGGGGCTTTTCATTTTTTTTTTCCAGTTTTAAGAATGTCAGGTGGGGAATACCAGCTGTGTCTGCAGTTCAGCATTTACACTATAACTGCCTTTGCTGCACTGCAGTCAGCAAGGACAACTTCAGCGTGTTTCATTAAATACACTGTTTGATCACATTTAATCCATCAGGTGTCACACAGCAGTTCAGTCCTCAGACTGAGCAGTCACAGCACTAACCTGCCTCAGCCAACAACACCTCACTAATCCCAGGTCAAGTAACAGAACCAAACCCAAAGTTTTAACATCCCTGTGGTTGGATGAACAAAATAAAGCTGCTTCATTTTGGGGAGGAAAAGCAGCAGCAAGAAAGAGGTAACAGTACAGGTAATTAAAATCTGAAGGCTTAACTTCGTGACTCTTGTTTTCTTAGGTTCAGAACTGGAACAGTGAGATTCTTGCTAAACAGAAACCACTGGTTGCCAAACCTTCAGCAAAACTGCATTTTGTAAATCGACTAAAAGGCAAAAAGTACAAAACCAGCACCACTTCCAAAGTTTTGCAGGATGCCAGTAATTCTATTGATCATCGACTTCCCAACTCCCAGAGGGTAGGTCTGGTGAGCTGTGGAGATCATCACCTTTACTCATCTTTGTCTGATCAGAATCATAGAAAACACATTCCTGCAACTGTCCATTTCACTTTCACTTCATTTAAACACTGTGGCTCTGTAAACGTGCACGATCTGCCATTCTACAGCTGTCTCACGGGTGCTGCCAGCTTTAAACTTCTCCTATCACTGAAACCATTGTATTCCTCATGGATTTTCTAAAGTTAGAGCTCAGCTTACCCACGTACTTTTATTTCTAAGTCTCTTCTAGACACTGCTTCTCTAAACTTAACAAAATCTAGTTTTTCTGATTCAGGCAGTGGGAGATATTTTGGACATTTTAGATTATTGCACTCTTGACAGAACTCAGTTAAAAATAAACAGCATTTGATCATAGACCTGAGGAGACAGTGGAAACTGTTCATTGCTGTTCTTGTTACTTTTCTTCTCTCATGGGCATTTGGGTTTTCGGTGGATTAATGGCTGAGGAGGAATAACTCCAGTTGTACCGTGATCAAAGCACTGTTTCTTTCCACTTGAGAGAACGAAATGTTTCTAATATATTTTACCCTCCAAAAATGCTGCCATATCGTTATATCTGCTCTTACGATAAATCTCTGTCTACAGAAAGGGATGACTAAAAAAATTGATTTTAATCGATTTCAGATACGCAAATATGAAACAGGACTGGACTAAACTCTGATGCAGTTGTCCCAGCTTTACGTACTCTCAAGTTCAAAATACCCCTAAATCTTTTCTCCTTTTCAGAAAAGCAGTCGAGAGACCATGGCAGATGAAGGGTTCTTTGATCTGCTGAGTCGATTCCAGAGTAACAGAATGGACGACCAGAGGTGCTGCTTCCAGGAGAAGAACAGACTCCCAGCTGCTTCAGTGGCAAAATCCTCTACTCCACCTAAAACAATGCGAAAATGTAATTTTTTTTGAAGTAAAATCTGTATCTGACTTGAGTTTCTGCCAAATACCATTTTCCAAACGTATTTGCATGCACGACTCCCTGCAGAAAGGAACTTATTTCTGGGCTAACTTGTTTTCTTCCTGTTCCCCAGCCTTTTCCACTTCTGTGGTGTCCCCACGCACAGATGAGTTCCTGGACCTGCTGGCGAGCTCGCAGAGCCGCCGCCTGGACGACCAGCGCGCCAGCCTGAGCAACCTGCCCGGGCTGCGCCTCCCCCAGCGCGACAGGCAGGCCGTGCTGGGGCACCTCGTGGGCAGCAGCAGCAGCAACAACAGGGAGCTGGACGACGACTTCTTTGATATACTGATAAAATGCCAGGTCAGTCCCTCAGCTGCCGAGTCTGTGGATGTGGTGTGTGCCTCCTGCTATTGAGTCTCTTGTGATTTAAGATACGTATTGATTCAGCAGATAAGGAAGAACGTAACAAACATTAGGATTTTTTTCCCAAGTTTTGGGGTTCTTTTACAATTTCTGTTTCTTGATTTTTTCTTTTTTTTAATTATCCAGTGTCTAGTAAGCATAATTTTGGTATATATAGCACAGTAACTGTGTCAAGTAACAAAAATGTATGCTATGGTAACTATTTCTAGAAAAAATTCTTAAAAAGTGAAGGAAAGTAAGTGAGGCTATTAAAATGAGTATTAAAATGGTTTTAAGTGTAAGGCACCTGATATACCAGGAATCCTGTGAAATAAAATGAAAGAATTTAGTATTCAAGTTTTGGTGATAACAGTGGTCATGATTCCCATTATATTTAGTGTAAATGATAGTTCCTAGCAATATGGGGGTGAGGTGGCTCGATTGTCAATTAGAGTATTTATACATATATATATAACTGGTATATATACCAGTTAGACCAAAAAGAATTTAATTAAATAAGTTTATAAGCATCTCAGAATACAAAATTCAGATACATTTTTTTACTCCCTGTACAAGGAAAGGAAGATAACCATATTTTCTGGTATACGAGACTAGAAATACCCCATACTAATGCTAAAATTCTTCTTCTGGACAAAGGACACTTAAATCTCATTCTGTGATATGACACTTGGGGGGTATTTTCAGATAAATATGGACATTTTAGCTTAATTTACATTCTCAGTAACTTCATTTGACAAGTTTAGCTTGAAACAAAACTTACAAATTAAGTCTCTATAATAGCTTTAAATCTGAAAACAAAAGCTCTTAGTAGTTTTTTCACTTCTATTGTTCATTTATTATATCTGTTCCTGTAAATATGCAGCTTTATCTCTTGGTCTGTCTGCAGGGTTCCAGACTGGATGATCAAAGATGTGCTCCTCCAGCATCTGCAAAAGGATCCACTGTACCAGATGAGGATTTTTTCAGCCTCATTCTACGATCACAAGCTAAGAGAATGGATGAACAGAGAGTCCATTTACCCTCAGCTATAAAGGCACCAAATTCTAGCTGAAGACACACACTGAGGAATGTACTGTACAGCAGCATCTTAGGTATCATTTTTGTTTGCTGGAAAAGCATACTTGCCTTTTTAAAGATGACTGCAGTGAGTAGTTTTGTCTCCTTTCTAATGATTTTCCATAGAAATAGCAGCAGCATCAACGTGTGACCAGTAGTTATAAAGTTGCCCCTGCTCATGGCAGCTGCTTTTATAGCAGTGTCTGAGATGCCACCACCGTCTCTCCCTCTTAACTGTCTCTAGCCTATCAACATTAATAATGTTTTTTTCTCTGTCAAAGTTTATCAGTGCTCATATGTGGATTCCACTACTGTCTCAATCTAGTGTAAGACCTAAATTTTTTATGTTGTTTTTAAAGAAAAGTTGATTTTTCCCCCCTGCTTTGTACCTCCTGAAAAAAAGGTCCCATTTTCTTTTATACTTTTTTTAAAAAATAAAAAATCGAGAAATAGCTTCAGGAGTTAGTCTGTCTTTGCAGAAACACAGTTTGGAAGAAACAATCATTTCTAATAAAAAAAAAAATTAAACCCTGGTTTTAATTCTGTTTAATAAAAAATAGTTTTTTTCAAAACATGATGGGTTTTTTTTGGTAATATTTAGTTAAGTGTTTCCTTCATTAACTCAGCACAGTTTTACTATCAGGAGAAGTTTTTACAAAGTGCTTATTTTCAAGAAACAGCTGTTCGTGCTCAGCTGGTGTGGGTTCATGTCCAGGCACCAGGGAAGCACAGGGGTGGTGGGCACTTGGCACCATCTCCCAGGGACACAGTGTAATTCCTGCATTTTGAATGTCACAGGCTGTAAATGCCCAGAGCCTGCTCATTACCTGCCCTCAGCTCCTTCTGCTCCTGCTATGGATGTGCTGTGCTGGGAGAGGTCTGGGGAACCCCGAGGGCTGTGCCTGGTTTTAACTGCAGGTACCTTGAGTTAGAAAAGCCACTGATTTTAACACCAAAGGTGGCAAACTGTTCACTCTGGGTGTTTATAAATGATGTCCTGTTTTTATTGAAGAATTATACCCCTAGAGAAGAACCTACAGTTACTTTTAGCTTCAGAGAGAAATGGCAATGTAAGAATAAACAGACACATAATTCAAACTATTTTACAATTACTGAAAGATTTATAGATATTCTCTTGCAGCTTTTTTTGGCACTGAAATCAGAATCCTACTGAAACTAAAACTCATCCCTCTGCTTATAAGGAGAAATGTCAGAATGTTCTTCCAAAAAAAAAAAAATCACTCATCGGTTTGTCATCCTGAGCTTTGATGCTTTTACTCAGTGCTTCCTATTCCCTGATCAGCTTTGAATTGCCCTAAAACCCATCTGACACATCAGCTTCTCACTCTGCAAATCATTAAACTAGGAGAAAATCAATAGGCTGTCCTAAAACTGGGCTGACAAGCAGCCAACTGATTTTAAAGACTATAAACCCAAAGACAGACCTGAGATGTCTATCTGAGTTGTGATGAGTGTTACGTGAATTACAGGAATATCAGTGACTTCCTAGAGGGTTTTGGACAGTTACCTGGCTAGGCTTGTGTTTGCTACATCAGAGTATCAGTGCTTCCCCACCACTGAGAATCTAATTTACCCAAACTTAATTTCCAACAAGTAGCCACACCCCACAGGCCTGATTTCTTGGCCACTGAAGTGTGTCTTATCTTAACACATTTATTTCCAATTCCAGCCACAGTACCTATGCTCCCTCTCCCAGATTACAACCCCACCTTACAGCTTACTGATGTTCTCTTTCTGACACTTGAGAACTGGAGCAGAATGAACATGACAACAGAGATTAGAGCACACTCACAGCAGAGCTCGGGGCTCCTTAGTCTCCTTCCTGGGAGTCGCGTAAAAGGCTCTTTTCCTTCTCTTCCCCTCCTTCCATCGCAGAGCTTTTCCCCTCTAGGTTTTTGTTGGGATCACAGTTTTCTCCAGCCTTTTGCTCTGCTTTGCCTGTCTCCTGTTTCTGCTGCTCAACTGCAGCTTCCTCAGTACGGTTTTCAGCTTTGAGAGTTTCTAGTCTATGAACTTCAGACCCGGTGTACAACCTATTCTGTAAAAAAATTAATAGCAATTATTAATTAATCTAAAGTAACAGCATCTATTGCTTCAAGGGCACCTCAGCTCAAGGGGCAGAGCTCACCCAAAGCATGAGTAGTTTTTTCCCTGGGTAAACAGGGCATGTAAATAAGCACAATGTAGGGTATAAATGTGTTTTGAATTAGTGTACACAAAAGTCAGCACTTTTCCCCTATTCTCCCAGGGGTAATCATGAATGCCCAGGCTGACATAAGTACTGACCTCTCAGAACTGAAGTTAAGTCTTTACTGTAAAGAGTTTTAATTCAGTAGTTTCCTACCACTTAGCCATTGCAAAGTATTTTTCCAGAAAGAAACACGTCCGAGACAGCTCTACCAAACTGCTCTATCAGGAAACATGCACGTCCTTAACTCCTGTCTCCCCAGGATCTGGGTTAAGCTTGCTGTTTAAGCTTGTTGTTTATCAGGTGACATTGAAATCTCTTCAGCTGAATCCCAGCCCAAAGAGCACCAGGACTTACATTAGGTTCTGACTTGGCAGAGTCTTGTGCGTGTGCATCCGGCTCATGGCTGGAATGTGCCGTGTCGGGATTCCTGCTGCCATTCCCTGCCCTCACGGTGAGGGGAGGTCTCACAGAGGCATCTCCTCTGTCCTGGTGTCCTCTGAACACATAGGGGCGCTGCTGCAGGTAATAGTCCTCTGCCTGCCTCCCGTCGTACTGCCCAAAGCCGATCTGCTCCCGTGCGCTGTCAGCTGGAGGAAGAGTTCTCCTCTGAGACGATGCCAGGTATCTTAATGCAGACACTGATGATCCTGCACCGTAGCAAAAAGCCTGGGGGAGGGAAAAAACCAAACTGAACAACACACCACATACTTGCAGCCTATGGTTCTCACACAGATATCAAAGTCAGGCATCTACAAGACCCTGAAAGAAAAGCTCAGGTGATCAGAAGGGCTGCAGGAAAATTCAAGGCTTCTGCAGTCTGACCACCCTGCAGGAACTGCCAGACTGGGTGCAGTTCATTGCTGGTGCTACATTAGAGATGCTGAAGTTTTAACTCAATGCCTTTGTGTACAAAATGGCAATTATGTGCATCACTGTGTAATGACACAAAGCAGAAATGGGAGCGAAGCTGCAATAAACTGACATAGGGTCTAAGATTTAAGCAGTTCAATGCTATTTTATCCTACCTGGGGAGAGGGGGGGAGTTGTGTTTTGAATGCAAACTTGGCTATTTTAATTGCTAAACCAACTGTACTATGAAGCCTTGGTCAGGAAAAACTTGCCTTGTAGAAGTAATTTCACCTGTGCTAAGTAAAAATAACAAATAATAGATAATACTTAAATATAAATAAAAATAATATATAAAAAATAAAACTGAGCTCTTAAACATAGGATAAATGTATACAAACCAGGACAGCCAGAGCCATCATAATTAGTACTGGGACCTGCAGAACGAACGGAATCTCCTTCATTAGTGCTTTGATGAATTCACCAATACCTTGTCCTACGTGCTTCAAAGGCTCAGTTACAAAGTTGGTGAAAGTAATTGCCAAGGCCTGGAAAAGTACAAATAGAAAACCAGTGTTGTCACACAAACAACAAACATCAAGATGAACAGTCCCTTTGGACTTGGAGTGTACCTTTGTTGGTGGAACCAGCAAAATAGGATTTACAAGTAGAGTTTCATAGTACTTCTGACAGGGATCGTCCTGTAACGTCCAGGTACTCCTAAGCCATTCTGTCAAAGCAGAGACACATTTTTACAACTTCTCAGAAATATATTTTATGTCACAGCAGTAAAAGACAAAGTAGCATTTCAATTAGAGATGGAAGAGAACTCTTCTAGATGCGGTTCAAAGCTCAGGTTTATTTTTACAATTCTGAGATCAGCTTGGCAGTGTAGTTTATCCAGTCATGGGGGTGCAGGAAGGAGAGGGAAGGTTAGAAGGAAAAAAGAACCTGAAGTTCTCCCACGCAGAGTCAAGAAAGTTCCCTTTATTTGATGAACTTATTCCCTGGAAGCCTCAGGGGAAAAAGTCTCACCTGTGAGAACCATTATCTAGCACAATGTGTCCACAGCTACTGAAACAGTGCCATTCCCACTGTTATTACTCATCTGCCAGTCTGCAGAGGAGATTAAAATCATCTGTTCTGCTTGTTAGATTTCAAGGGTCTATTTTATTCACAAGCAGAAAGTCTCACTTCTTAAGGGAAATTTTACATTATAAACAGGTCATTTACAGCACCAGTGTTTCTGTAGTTTGGTTTTACTGCAGTCAGAACATGAATCACTGAAATTTGTCATAAACAGAATAATCAGAGTCAATAAATTAGAAAGGGAAGACCATACCAAGCAGTCCTTAAGAGTTGCCACCAGTCAGCTACCTGCTATAGCACTGGATACTAATAACAGCTAATAAAAAAAATCAGCTTTCTCTGTAAAATAGTAACACTCAAGAAAGCAGTTACAGATCTAATTCCTCAAGTCCATTGTTCTCACAGGCCTGGCAGATGAAAAGAAAAAGCCCTTTTCACGAGCTCTGCCCACCTGTCTGTGGTGAACGGCACTGAATGGATCTGGGGAGGGGAGCTGGGGAAACACTCACGGGTAAGTTAAAAGAAAAAGAAGGAACACCATGACATGCTCCAAGTACAGTTTTGTGATCAGCTCTCCTCCAAAGGCCTAGAAAAGTCGAATGGAATGGAAAAATGGTAAAACCACATAATCATGTACTGAAGAAAATTCAGTGTACTACTCATGAAGATATGTGACTGTTCTTGGACACTGTTAGTGAGTGTTTTGTGATCTTAAGTACCATTACAAAATAACGAAACAAGTAGTTACCAAAAAGACTTTCTCGCCAGTCCAACTTCTCAGCACAGATGTTATCAAACTGCCCCATTTTCGCAATTTCTGCTTGATGCTGTGCAAAGGCCAACTGGGGGGAACACAAGGACTTGTGAAACCAACAGACCCTGCATCCCTGCACCTCGGCTATCCCTGTGTGCTCTTAGCCAGCCTGGGATAATTCTCCATGTCGATAATTCCCCCACTACACCCACTGTGTAAATACATATTAAGAAAAGTTTGCTAACTAAACAATGTAATGGAGTTCAACTCTAAGAACCTCCTGGGAATGGACACCACCCATGATGACGGCTACCTCTGAGTTATCCTCCAAATGGAGCCTGATATTTTTGCCTTGAACTCGTATCTTTGAATACTGGAGTTTAGTCCTTTGGCAATTCAAACACAGGGAACCTTCAGAAAGAAAAAACTCCTCACAATATATTTATATTTATTTTCATATAACTTTTCTACCAAGCTGCCTTAGTCAGAGGTCACATCTGTCTTGCCCACACAGTGAAATTAGAGTTCTAGTACTCTATGAATTTTGTGCACCTCTGCTGCAGGATAAAGTAAGTCCTTGGAGTTTCTTTTGTTCTTTAAGCCTAACACACCCATCAGCATGCAAAACAGAATGTTAATCCCTTTATTTATTTTGTGGTTAATTAAAAGCTTTACATAAACTAACTAAAGGCACTAAATAACCTTAACTCCCTCACAACTCTAAAATTTTAAGCCTAAAAGACATGAAGATTACAGAACTTACCTTATACAAATAAAGCCAATTCCATGCAAAACTGATGAAAAAACTTATCAATAAAAGACGTTTTAGCTGAACAAACAAAAGAATCCGTGTCCAGAGCTCTGTAGCTATTACAGTTACAATGCATGCTAAGCACAAGAGCAGCTGAAAAAGAAAAGAGGAAAAAATTATGATCCAGATTTGGAATCTGCCGAGCTTACTGCCAGTACACATGAACAAACTCCCAACTTTTGCTAATGTCATTTACAGAGTTTTTCCTTGCTTTCACAGCACATCTGTGCACTACAAGGCACAAGTTTCATAGCATCACTAGTCATTCCTATCACAGCCTTACACTGCAGATGCTCATTTTTTCTTGTGATGTTTAGTTATTTCCTCCTTACGGTGTTTATCACATTACCCACCACACTTTTAAATTGTAAGGTTGGTGTCAGTCACTGCTGGAGCAGTATGTGCCTGGTATGAACCACAAAACAACAGCTGCCAAGTCCTGCACTTTGGTTAAGAGACAAAGGTACAGTTTGGGGAGCAGCTGCCAGACTTCAGAGAAGCCCTTTACAGACTCCTTCCACCCGAGGACCCCCAGCACTGAGGTTACGCTACTGACAGCTTGCTTTGGGATTTGGCTTCCAAAGACCCCTCAAATCAAGACAGGCTCCTTTCAAGATTATGTCAGCACAAAACATCAGCATATTCTGAACTGTAAAGATTTATTCAGAGAGCTTCAGCTTATCAGAAGATCCTCAGTTTAGCACTTTATAATTCCATAGTCATGCTCTCCTCTCCAACACTACACAATTTTCTCCATAAAATTCGTAAGAGCCTCTGACCTATAAGAGTTCAAATATACACTTGTCTCAATATAAATATATTCCACCTCCTGCAGAAGCCAACAACTTCAGCATCTACTTGAACAAGAGGCAAACCTAGAAAATCTGTAATGCACGAAGTGTCAGTTCTAGTGATAAGGAAGTGCTAGAGCCTAATGAGTCAGGCAGCACAGACTGAGACAAGAGGAAGAGAAAAAAAAGCATAACAGAAAAAAAAACCCACAAAGCTACAATAAGAAAAGATGACCACAGGAACAAAAAACTTGAATTCTTACTTAAAATGAATACATCTCCTCTTCCTTCAGCAATCATGAAAAAAACCCATGACTCACTGAAAGTGTGATGGAAAGAACTGCTTTACATGTGGAGTTAAGACAGTTATATTCACTGACTAGACCTGACCAGAGAAACTGGAGAAAACAGCAATCAAAACCAACAAAACCCCTTTATTCTCTTACCAAAAACAAATTATATAGGTCAATTCCAAAAGTGTCTTCAAATCTCCAGTGCCAAGCTTGGTAATCGTGGTGCTTAAAATTGATCAAAATGTCACTGAGTGCATCATCCATGGCACCTGGCTGCCAGGTGTCCTCATTGAGGAACCTGAGGATCTCCAAATACGTCTGCTTTGTAAGGATGATCTCGGCGTCGTAGTGGACTTGGCCCACGTTCTCCTCAGGCTGAATTAAAGGCAAAGCAAAGCAAAGCAATGTCACAAGCTGCCTCTCTGGAAACAAAAGTGCATCCCTAGGCAAAAAGCTGACTGAGTACCATTCATGCTGTACCAGAACCTTTTTGAAACAGGCTGCAGGATGAAAACACAGGACAAAAGTATGATTCTGTATCCTTTCTGTTCATTCTTCTAAACTATATGATACTCGAGTTCAGCTGGTTTGTACTCCAATTCTACAGCAATAAACTAACAGAAATGAATTATCTCACTTGTTATTAAAACTTTAGAACCACGGCTCATTAACAAGTAATAATGACATACATGCTATGTGTGCCCTGATCACAGCTGGATCATACAGACAGAAGCTATTAAATACTGAAATAAGAAGTTTTGTGTTGCTAAATATAATGCTCTTTATTAAATATTAATTTTGCTTATTACTAAAAATTAATTCTTCTACCTCTGAATAGCAAAAAATCTCCAAAGACAATATAATAAAGAGCCCACCCAACAACTAAGTACCATGCAGTCACTCCATTTTAACAACCATTAATGTGAGCTGAACAAGGTACTCCTGTAGCTGCATCCCAGCAACAGATATTTAGATACACTGAATTCAAAAGCCTTCCTCTGGATGCTTCTCATATCAAATCCAGCTGTGCCTCCTGAGCAGTACTGGATGCACAGACTTCTATCACCTCTTCCAATGCCATTCAATTCCCTTCATTTTAATTTAAAGTATGCCAGAATAATTAATCAGTACTCAATAACTGTGAAAACCATATAAAGTATAATATGAATTCTAATTAATTTTTTTAAATGACTGTTCAAATACTTACAAGGCCAAGTTTTCCAGCTTCATTTAAAATCTTATTCAAGTATCGCCTAAAAATATAAAAGCTCCGGCTTTCCTGTGACTTGGCATTCCTCTTCTCACATTCTGCAATCTGCAATCGTGCAAAAGACACCTTTATTACCAGCTCATTCATAGGGAAAAAAAGAAAACCTACCAACACATTAAACTCAGGATCAACAGGGCACATTTCTTCAGTGTAGCAATGATCCTGTGACTGGTATGCCAGATAAAAGCATATGCAGTTACTGAAGATGCTGCTTTCCATGGGACTGCCCAGTACTGAACAACTTGAAAACAACAGGACAGGTTCCTTGGCTTTTGGCAGCATGGTGTGACATAAAATATTTTAGGACACAGACCTTGGAAGGAGAGCAACAATTTGGAATTGAATTCAGACCACTTCCAGTGTCTCCTCTGAATAAAGAGGTTCCCCCTACATAAAGCATTGTCTCTCATAAATTATGCCAGCAACGCACCTGTTCTGTCCTAGCCAGAAAAGGCATTGTCAGAAAGCACAAACTATTAAAGACTGGAAAATATCCTGGAGTTCTGTAACAAACCTTCTGTTGCAAGGCATCTATTGTCCTGGAACAACTCGGTGAGATTTCAGTACTGACTGTATCCGCAGTCTTATCCTCAGAGTCATGATAGTTTGCCTAAAATTACAGAAGGAATTTTTAGAATCTGATAATTTGATCAAACTTGCCCTGTTACAATTCTCTAGTCAGATGCCTTAAAAAGGAGCAAAGGAGCTAAAATCTGAGTGATCTGTTTCTCTAGCACTCTCCCAGTGATACTCCAGCTGCCTCTCTGCTGTTATTTTAGGCTCCAGCTGGAGTTTACATAAATGCCTGTTGCCTTCAAAAGGTGAGGCCTGTCCTCCCCCACTTGTCCTTTCCCCTCCTTCGAGCGCTGGTGAGCCACACAGAGCATCAGATTAGATAACTGGACCGGCTAAAAACTGACTCAGCAAGCAAAGGGGCAGCTTCCAGCCAGACAAATTCCCAGCCCAGCTGGCCACGCAGCCAGCCAGACTGCAAGTAAACACAACCCCCATTCCGGGATGCATGCCTGTGCTTTCACATTCCCTCTCTGCTCCAGAACACTCCATGTTTTCTGTTAATTACTCAGACCCTGTTTTAGCAGTGCTGCTTTTACACAACCAGGAGTGCACGCTGAGGGAAGTCTCCAGAAGGAAGCACAGCAGTGCACAGATCACTGAACTCATACTGAAACCAAGTCAGGTCTTGAGGACTTGGACGGCCCCCACAGCCTGCCTGCCTAAAAACTCACTGCAGGGCACGAGAGAAATCCTCAGAAGATGGATTAACCCAAAGCAGGCATTTTTCTCCTTTAAGATGAGAAGTTCTATTTTTGTGGGAGACAACAGTAAAACTACTATTATTTTTATAAAAGCTGGAGCAGTAGGATTCCAAGATTAAAGACTCCAAAGCTTGCTGCTGAATTTTAGGTATGCTAATGACTATCAGGTGGATTTGAGGCAGGTGGTGGCTGAAGAGGAATGCTGTGGAGAGAAATAACGCAGTCTGCAATTTTTAACTTCAGAAAATTACATTCTGAAGTGTTTAAATGGTATCATTCAAACTTGAAAGCTGAATAATGACAAAAATCAAAGGCGCCCACGCAACCAACCACAGTTTACAGTGCCACGTGTGCACATACGTATCAGATTAACAACATGCATCTCTGGAGAGTCCATCCCTCACACAAGACAACTGAGAGATGATTCACCTTGTTAAAACTAATTTATTTCCTACTTCATGTTCTCCTAAATGTTCACGAATCACTTACACTACAGCACTCAACCCCTGTTCTGATCTGCCTTCCGAAAACTGATGCCCAGCATTACAAAACACTCTGTGACTTTCACAATACTCTCACACAAGAAATGGGCTTTATTACCATATTGCCGTGAAACTGGTTAATTAACATAAAATGCAGCCATTAACTCCCCCAACTTTTATCAGGCAGGAACTTGATTTTCAAGATATTTAATACGATACTTGACAAACTAGCAAGAGCTGCTGAACCCAGTACTTCTCAGAGCAGTAACTCGTGGTGCCACAACCTGCATAAATCAAGCACCACCTGCGAAAAGACAAGAAGCCTGATTGCTGTGACTGGATCAGTGTGCAACAGAAACTCAACAGGAAAAGGTCCTGAGCTAACTACACTAACATAGATCACTGTTTTTTTCCTTGCAATTTTAACCATGGACACAGAAGTCTTTTCTGTGTATGGATTCAGATATAACATAACAAGACCTTAAAAATATCGTGATTCTATCGTTATCTACTGTCACCATGTAAGAGCACTCTTTCAACAGCACGTGGCTGAAGGACTGTTTGGGAGAGGCGTGTGTGTATTCATACATCCTTTCTTTTTCTACCTTGTAAGGTCTTCTCATTGTTCCTGACGCTGCATCATAATTGAGCATATCCGTGGGGTCAATCCATTCATCTTCTTGAACTTTACCGCTCCCTACCAGCATAACTGCACACAACACCAGAGGAAACAGCATCCTGTATCGCTGAATGTAACAAGAAATTCACATATTTAGGTCAGGGTGTAACATGCCATATGAAAAGAGAAATGCAACCATCTTACACAAGAGAAGTATTCTCTGGCGCTGTTTAAAATCTCAGTTCTCCATTAAGCAGGTTAAACTTCACTTCCTTTTTTTTTTCCCCTCCCAAGGAAACTGTCAGCAGTAACATGCAACAATTAAACTGTACTACACGACTGGATCAATATAACCGACCGCAGATATCAGCAGGTGTAACACGGAGCTCAGTATTGCTAAATACAATAAACCTGCGCAGAACTCCTCCAGGATTCACGGCCAGATCACAAGCCCAGCCTCACTCAGTAACTCTCAGGTGCAAAACAGCGTTATTTGCCGAGCAACAGAAACACAGGCTCTTGTTGGACTGCTAGTGCTAACTACAGTGCAGGAGTGCACGAACACAAAAATATGAATAGCACAGCTGTCAACAAACACATGACACTGGGAGCTGACTATCTAGTGCTGAAAGCACGATCACAAACACGAGCTGGCTCCCTCGGAGGAAGCACGGCCGAGTGTTCGGGCCTTACCCAACAGGCATCCCTACAGGGCCAGAGATAAGCAGAGCCTGTCGACAGTCCCAGGGTACAAAGGTGGAGTTTCCCCTGACCTCCCATCCCTCGTAACCTATATTTATATTGTTTTCTTTGAAGGAGGGGGAAAGGTAGCGTTTCAGTTGATGTCATTTCACGTTTAGGTGGAGTTTGAGTGACTTTAGTCACCCATGTAAAGCACGTACAGGTTTTACTTCATTAGCACGTGTGGGGGTGCGAAAAGTGAGACGTATTTTTCGACTTAACAGAGCAAAGTTCAGCTTTTGGTCGGTCACCTTTTAGATCATTCCTCTGGCTTAGTTCCCGCTGGCGGCATTGTTTTAAAGGGAGCACGGCCACACCATGTCCGTGCGGCTCCATCCTCGGTCCCCGCCTCTCTGGGAGCGACACACCGCGCTCCCCGGCGCTCCCGCTCCCACAGGGTGCGGAGCAGCTCGTCCCTGGGGGATCACTGCCCCGCACGCACTCCCGCTCGCTGACCGTTCACATTATTTTTTCACAAAAGGTCCAGCACGCCCGTCCCGCAGAACAAAAATCAAGGCTGGCCAGCCCTGCAGGGACACCCCTGCCCTGCCCGGGCGGGACCCACGGCCCGGTGCCCTCGGGGCGGCTCTGCCGGGCCCCGGCCCCGCACAGGCCGGCGCTGGAGGCGCGGACAGGGCCACGGCGCGGAGCCAGGGCCGCTCCTCCCGCCCCTACCTCCTTTATCTCGGCAGCCACACCGCGCTCCGCCGAGACGAGCGGCCCTCCCGCCCCGAGTCCGAGTCCGAGCACGGGCACAACGCAGGGCCCGGGCCCGCCCCGCCCGCGGTACCTGAAGGGCCGCAGGAATCCCGGCGTGTTTACCCGGCCCGGGGCCGCCCCGCAGCCGCGCTCCTCCCGGCTCCTCCCGGCTCCTCCCGGCCCTGCGGCTCCCCGGGCCCGGGGGCGGCCGCTCCGCCCGGGGATGGCCGCGCAGCAGCGGCCGCGGAGGCGCCGCCCCGGCCCTCAGGGGACGGCTCGAGCTCAGGGCCCGCCCCGGCCCGCCCAACCCCTCCCGGCACCTCCCTCAGCCTCATCCCCGCCCCGGCCCGGCCGCCTCCCTCAGCCTCATCCCCGCCCCGGCCCGGCCCCGCCGCCTCCCGGCACCTCCCCAGCCTCATCCCCGCCCCTCTCCCGCTGCACAGCGAGTGTCGTCTGGTTTGAATGGCCCCCAGGGCCCGGCAGACGTGAAGGCACACTTACCTTCGCTAAAGGCAAGCTCAGGCACAAGACCCTGCGATGTAAAACAAGGGATGTAAATCGACATCTGCTCTGTAAAGACCCGAGCTGGAATAAAATTGTCAGGAAGACAGTATTTACAGAGTTGTGGTACTAACTAAGAGAAGTCTGCCAGCTTTATCTACAGCTAAACAACTAGAGGAACACTCTTTTCCTCCAAAGCAGCATTATGTATCAAATACAGAAAAATAAACAAGATCTGTCAGCTGTATTATTATCACACTGAAAATTCAGATAGAGGGAAGCAGTATCAAAACTCTTGAGTATTTTACAGTTCTGGCCTATTAAGTCATATGTCTAACTCTGTATCACAGATTATTTGCATCAAATAATTATGAACTAAGAATCCAAAATAACAGACAAAATGGATGCAGGTGTTGGAGGTCTTTATTGAGATTATAGCACAGATACACTTCTATATTTACCTTTCCACTTTTATACAATAGTTAAAAATGCTTGCTACAGTGCACATATAATTTAGTAACCAAGAGAATCCAAAACTTAACTGCAGTTCAAATAAATAAATAACCAAAAGTTTAAGGTTTATATTTTAAAAAGTAAAAGGAACTGTACAATATGAAAATATAACAATACATAAACATTAGAATCTAAAGTTTTGTAGAAGTAAAACTGCAGTTTCCCATACATAAACAGTGCAAGAAATAAAATTCAGATAAGCTTCTGAACTGGGAATTTAAACAATTCTTAAATTATCATGCAGACATAGCATTTTAAGCCATGCTGGTTTCTATTATAGCATTAATGGTATCCCTTTTATTTGAAAAATTGATAGCCATTAAGCTCACTGTGACAACTGCTGCCAATCCACTCTTTTCTACAGTACGTTATACACAGAGGTATTCTGTTGCATTCAAAAAGTAAAATATTACATGTTTCTACTGAAAAAAGTCAATATTTTACTTTTTCCCCCTCCAACATGTTAGCTTGTTCAAAACAATGTCATGTAGTAAAAACAGCAACATTTTTCCCAGGTTAAATGAAAAGAAAGAAAAAACCCCACACTATATAATGGACCATAACCAAGATGTGGTTACTGCCTAGCCAGCCTTTAAAGTTCAGATGTTTTTACTAAAAACATTGAAATTGTGGAGATGTTATGAAGTTTGATCTCTTGTTGAGGAGTGATGAATACAATAAACCTGAAAAAAGTGGAAGTTTTACGTGTGTGTGTGTGTGTGTGTAACTAGTTACATACAGACTTGATTAAAGTGTTGTTCAACTTAAGTTCTATACAAAATTCTCATCGAGGCAAAGACCAAGGAATGCAATTAATACCAAACTGTAAACACATCATTCATGTTATTCTGAGTGCACATCAACAACGTAAGAGTTCTCCTCATAGACTTTGGCAACAAGACTACAATAGGTCACAGCAGCATGAGTTCAACATGGAAGACTGGAAGCACTGCAAAAGAATATACTAAAAACACCAAGACCTCCTAGAAACCAGAAAAATCAGTGACAAGTGCCCCTCTTCTTGATAAGACACTCTCCTGCTCAACTGCTGCTCTCAATGCCTCATTATTATTACTTGTTTGGACAGTTCTGTAGTCTCAGGTGTCTGTGCTTTAGCTGCATAGGTTGCCTTTGTTTGCACTCTAACCATTGTAGGTCCAAAGCGTTACAGTCCTGTCTGCAGATGACGACAAGAAGGAAAGATCTTGTGTGTGCCATCTGCACTGGATAACTTTGTCCTTGTGCTCTCCTACCACCATCAGAGGAAGCTGCTTCGTGAGGTCCCCTGTGGCAGAGGAACAGAAATCATTAGTCATTTCATGAATTTATACCCCAGCTCTTGTTTTTTGCACTTTTTTTGGTGGGTTTTTCTTACCTGGTTGTTTAGTGAAGCTCACGTGTGTATTTTGTCTTATGAAGAACATGACACACACCCCCCCTTTCACATACACACAGCATAATACAGGCCCCAGTGTTTCAGTTTTCACGTGTTACTGGACACAGTACAACTTAAAAAGGCAGACCTTGTTTTCACAAAAGGTGATTAAAATTTAATGGCCCAAGAAAATCAAGTTCAATTAGATATACCCAACATCTTCTCTCTTCTTAACTCTTTCCAATAAAAATAAAAATTATATACTTTTTTTAAAAAAGTGTCAATTTTATGAATGCTACCTGAAAGCAATGGCCATCTCACTAGGCAACAGTGTTAATTTTTTTTACTGTACAGAGACCGTCATCCCCAAACAAGATTTAGGTTGCACTTTTAGCAACACAACGAGCCAATTGCCAACAGACACAGTCACACATATACACGTCAAACCCTTCAAAGCTCTACCGTTTTTCTCCCCTTTTAACGTAAAACCTGATCTCTGAACTAAGATCTCGACTTCAACATTAAAAGCACCAAATGGAAAAGGAGCCTGTGATCCTTTGCAGCTCTTTACCTTGCAAGTCTGTCACCTTGATCTTCATATCGTAGGAGCCGGTGAGCAGGTAGTGAGCCCCCGGGGAGAAGCGGACGGAGCGGACGTCGCTGGAGTGGGGGTGGTAGCTCTGCACCATGCGGCCCCCCCGGATGTCGTACAGCATGCAGCTCGAGTCCTCCTGGCCTGTGGCCAGCAGCCGCCCGCTGGGATCAACAGCTACTGAGGCTACAGCACTGCCTGCAGGGGGAGGAAAACCCACACGGTCACACCTTACAGTTCTGTGCACCTGTGCAAATGGCCGACTTCTTTTAAACTAGAATATACACTGCAAAAGAATACTGAATGCTGGCCTTAAATTTAAGGTGACCATACACAGCTACTGTTACCTTAGAATAACAACATTTTTGTGTTCTGGCACTGAAAACTCTGCAGCCAGGTCACACTGGAATTGTAGCAAAGACACTATTGGAGCCTCACTGAGAAAAAGTGTCTGTTCCATCACAGGAAACAAAGTCACTCTTTATGTAATAATGTGGAATACTGCAAGGAATTCATTCACCCTGGCCCTAATGTCTCAAGAATTTCAGTTATCACGTTTTATCTGAACGTACTTGGCAGTGTCTGTTTGGAAGTTACAGGTAGAAACACTACTCAACTTCTGAAAGGAAATGTTACTTTAAAAACAAACACACAAAACACAGGTAAAGATTCCTCACAGCTTCTTTCTTTTAAAGCCAAGCCTCCAGCGTGTGGCAAACCTCCCCCTTACATTCTGCCTATATTACCTTGACTCTTCAAAGTCTATTTTTATGCAAGAATGTTCAGAAGCATGAGAGCAACTCTTGCCTGTTCCATGAAACGTTGTTCCCACAACACGAACACAGCTTGGCACTCTCAAATCCCAAAATCTTACAGTCTTGTCTTGGGATCCAGATGCAATCATCCAGCCACTCCATGTATAAAGTGCTAAAATATGACCTGTGAACAAGAAGACTTCTTAGTTTGATTAACCATCATTAATCAAACACTGAAACACCACAGTTCAGATTATGTTTTTGCTTTCACAGATTCAACTATCCTGTGGGAAAGCTGCATGTTGCATGATCTAATCTAACACACCAGTGTAAGGCAATACCCAGCTCTGCATCTCCTCTGGAACGAGGTGTGTGCTCTATCCATTAAATTAACAGCCAACATATGTAAAAACAAACACTCCCCACCACACCCTCAGAATACCCCAAGAGCAATCTGGAGAGGAAAAAAAAAATCTTGCTAGAAAGAAGAAGACAAAGAATTCAAAAAACAACCCCAAAACAACCCAACAACTTTATTAGAACCTCGTACAGGCTTAGGAAGTGTGAGAGAAGCCACAATACACATACCAGTGTGCCCGCTCAGGGCATGCAGGCCTTGTCCTCGCTGACAATCTGTTGTGTAAATATTGCAGTCCCCTGCTCCAGCACTTATTAAAATAGCACCACCACTTTCTGGGCCTTCCATGAAAGCGAGGTCCCTGATTGTCCCATCGTGCATGCTGAATTCCAAATCTGGTCCTAAAATCATTTAAAAATCGAGGGACAAAATAAGGCATACTTTGTTTGTTAGTGCTGCACCTTTTAAAGCAGCTACAGTGATAAAGCAGAATACTTTAGGCAAGGCTGGGTATGCTACCAGGTACAAATATTGCTGTGCACTTTCTATAGAACACAATATTTCACTTACTAAAGTTTAAATAATGGACAAATAATTGAAAATAAACTCTTTAAGTACGGACACACAGTACCTGTTGCATTACAAGTTTCTGCATTAAAAGGCAGTACTTTCACATATTTGTCATTAGAACCAGTAGCTAACAGCTGTCCACAGGGACTCCAGGCCACACAGTAGATTGATCCTTTATGATGCTTATTCCTTTTGAAGCGAACTACAGGTTGTTTAGGAGTATTATAAGCACTGGTAAAACAAACAAACAAACAAACAAAACAAAACATCAGATATCCTTTTATTTCTAAGGAAAACAAAGTGTTTTAAAATGAAAACACTGTTTTTTATTATTTTGAGTAACATGAAATTCATGAGTGCTTGCATTGAAACATATAGATGTAAACTAAGAGAAAAGGATCATCTCCATCTCATTTTCTCAGTTTTTCCTCATCTTTATTTGTGATTAAACATGCAAAAAGGACTTAGGCAGTCCATTCATCTGTTGGGGGTTGATACAGATAAAATACAGTAATTACTAGCTATAGTACAATGAAACCTTATCCCCAGAGTCCCAAAGTGGTGTG